GACATCTCTGGAACAAAACAAAGCACTCAAGTAACACGGTTATGTTTGACGCGACATGAAGTTATCCAATCATCATTCCTCGAAGCAGATCACACACAACCAAGCATTCAATGATGATGTTGTTGGCGGCCAGCACTTGTGGCTGGATTTGGAGTAGTAGCCGCCATTTTGATAGCGGTTGAAATGATTTGAATAACCTACTCAATGCAGTAACCCTTCAGCTAAAAAGCACAAAGGAAGCCCTGATACATGTAACTTCAAAGCAACAGCACACTTGCAGAGTAAGCTGGAAGCCTGAATGATCTCAATGATTACCCCTAGGGTACATTAATCGACCGCCCCGCCCCCCCCCCCCTCACCTGTCACACCAGGCGGTTCAATTTATGGTGTTAGTGTCGAGGGTGTTGGCAGCTGTGAATTTGTTGCTGATGGACATGAGCATACTGGTAACAAGTGCTGATCAGGGCACAAGCTTAAGACAATGAAAGATTTCGTCCAACCCACAAAACCTCTGAATCCTCCACATTGAAACATACCCCCAGAAAGCTAACCCTGAAAAACCTATTTTCTGCACATGAAACTCTGTATTAGTAAACGTGCCCAGCCGGCCTGCAAGTCTCCAGTCACGGCTGGCAGTGCTAACAAACAGTGGACAGTAGACAGTGGACAGTGGACAGTTATTAGGTCTAAAAGGGTATCGTGCCAAGGCAGGGCAAAAGGTGGGGAAAGGCGAATTAACCGGAGGAGGGGTCGGTTAATTCGCGACCTTTTTAATTGTGGGGGAGGGATTCGGGGCTTGCTAGCTAGGATTCGGGGCTGTTGCTAGGGGCACTGCCAGTGACACTGTTTGCCCTGCAGGTGCTGGGATTCTACCTCAACGAGCTCAGACTCTGTCCACTGTCCACTGTCGCCAGCAACAGCAGCAGCAGCAGCAGCGCGCGCGCTGTGTGTGTGGTCGCGCGCGCTGTCACGCAGAAGCGCGCGCGCTGTTGCGCGCGCTGTCGTGTGGAAGCTGCACGGGCTGCTGTGATCAAGCACTTATGGGCGTGCGCGCGCTGTGCGCGCGCTGTGCGCGCGCGCGTGCACTGTCCTGTGTGTGCGCGCGCTGTCACGGTTTTTGTTTGCTGTTGGGGCTCCCTGATAGAACAAATATGCCAAGTTTCTGGAGGACGCAGTGCTTTGTGCTCAAGCCTTTAGACAGAGAGAATGTGGCATCAGCATCATGTTCTTCATAATCATGAACCATGTAGTCGCAAATTTAGGGCAGTAGCATTGCAAAAAACAGCTCATCCAACGTCCACTGTCCATTGTCTACTGTTGGGCAGTGGATGCACACTGTCCATTGTCCACTGTTGGTGGAGAATGGGCCGGAAGAAGAATGGAAAGCCCAAGAACCAACCTGACAGCAGGAAGATTGCCAAAAAACCTGCCAGCAAGCGGAGCGGCAGATCTGGTAAGTCGGGATGGCCAAAATGGAACCTAGAGGTGAAGGACAAGGCTGAAAAGGCCAAATTCCAAGAACAACAAGAGTCGCCACAAGCAGCCCCACAAGAATCAGAAGAAGACTCGCCCTTTTGTCATGTGGACGTCGAGGCTGCGGCTACAGATGATGTTGATGTATGTTCAACTCGAACGGTGAGTACACAAACACCACGTTGGATTCGCCGTGCTCAGCCGGCGAAAGATGAGAAGGACTCGTGTTGTTTTTTCTCAATTGTGTTGATCAGCCCTTGTGGTCGCAGGACCTTGAGAGAAGAGGACGAACCAGCATGGAGAATCACAGTCTGAGCCTGAGCGATGCTTTCAACAATGGGTTCCCATGCTAACCCGTATGAGCCAGGTCGGGCTCTCGATGGCTTTGGCGCCAATGAACTACTGGACTGCGGCCGGATGCTGTTTTGCCACTGACTGCTACTACACTACTACCACTACTACCACAACTACTACTGGTTTGCAAGCTGCGTGGATTGCACGCAGGCAACGTTCTTCTCTTCCGCCCTGTGAAGAGGAAGCTGGCAGAGCAGAACTGAGAGCAAAAAAAGCGCCATTGTTTTGCAACTGAGGTGTAGCTGCATCTTGGGTGGGGTCTTCCCTGTGCACAGGAGTAGTAATAGTAGTAGTAGCAGTAGTAGTAGTAGTAGTAGTAGCGGCAGTAGCAGCAGTAGTAGTAGTAGTAGCGGTAGCAGTAGTAGCAGCAGTAGTAGGATTAGTAGGAGGAGGAGTAGTAGTGGTAGTGGAAGTAGTAGTAGTAGTAGTAGTAGTAGTAGTAGTAGTAGTAGCGGTAGTAGTGGTGGTAGACGTAGAACAATGGACGGTGGACAGTGTCGTGTATATTCCCTCTGGCAACAATATATTCACGACATCATTTTTGAGCTTGCCCTGCCCCACCCCCATTCCAATTTGCAATCTGTTTTCCGGCTGCTTGCTGCTCCTGCTTTTGCTGCTGTTGCTGTCCACTGTTCACTGTTCATGGTCTTCAATGCTCACTTTAAATCCTGCTTTCAAAGCCCCTTTAAGGCTCCCAAAACGAAAAGGTCAGAAGGTTAGATACCAACGAACGGAAGGTCAGTTGCTTTGAACAGGGATTTGTTGGGTGTCCGACGTGATCTTCCCTCTCGTCGACCTGGGTGCCGCTCTGCCTCCCTCGTCGGCGGCTGGTGTCGTCGCGCATGGTAGCCTAACCCTGCCACTGGCGACGGAGTCCGAGAACTTGAGGCCGTCGAGGTCGAAGTCGTCGGATGCTGCCCTGGGGGAGTCCAGTCGCAGTCGGTTCCAGCGACGGTGTAGAGCCCATGTCCAGTGCTCTCCCGTCGAGGGGTCGCGAGGCAGATCCTCCCAGTCGATCGTCGACCACCAGAGGCGGGACCTCCCAATCCACCCGAAGTCGGCGGCGTCGGTGAGGATGGGTTCGCACTCCAGTGCCTTGGTGGCCGCCGCTGCGTCTGCCTGCGTCATCTCGACGTTTTCGACCAGTTTTCCAAGCCGTCGAGGTGCAATCAGCGGCGTCAGCTCGGCGACGTACTCGGCCGTGAAGTTGAAGAGGTATCCTCTATCACCGCCGTGGCCCGCTCTGTCGCCGATCCTGGAGAAATCTTGGCACGGCGGTGCGGCGAGGAATAGGATGATGCACTGGGCGTCGGGGTCGATCGCGTCGATGTCCTTGGCCAGGGCCTTCGGCGTGTCCTCCGTGATGTCGCCGCGGTGCCGGACGTCGGGGATGTGGTAGTCAATCACCTGGATCGCCGCCCGGTCCACCTCCCATGAGAAGACCGCCCTGGGCTGGCCCACCAGGTCCCACACCAGCCACGGGCCTGCGCCGACACCGTCGAATGCCGACAACACGATCACCTCGTCGCCTTTCGGTCGCCGGCTGGAGAGCTTCACCTTCTTGGTCGGTTGGTCGGGTACCCCGTCGGCAGCGGGGGCGCTCGACGGGGCCCCGTGCTGTCCCTAGCGGCGGTTGCCGCGGCCCTGGCCGTTGCCGCGCCACGGGCGTTGGCCTTCGAACTGGCTGGACTGTCCGCCGCTGCCGCCGTGCCACCACTGTTGGTTCTTTCCGTCGGTCTTCTGCTGCCACCAGCCGGCGTTGGTGTCCTGCTCGTTCTTCTTGCCGCCGCCCTGGGATTGATCTTTGCCGCCGCGTCCGCGCCCTCTGCCACGGCCCCCTTGACGTCGTCTTTTGCGGCCACCGCGACCGCCGCCGCCGGTCCATGCCTGCTGGTCGTCGGCGTCCTCCTCCTGGCCGTTGGGGGCGTCGGTGCGGTCGGCGATCTCCTTCTCGGATCTCTTGGTCGGGTGCGGCGTGGACAAAAGGATCTCCTGCCACGTGGCCACGTCGTCCATGATCTCCTTGGTGGCCTCGCCGAAGGACTTGTTGTTCCTGAGTGCCATCGCCAAGTTCCACGACGTCCGCTGCCAGTATGCCTGGAGGGCTGCGACGTGGTTGGACTTATCCCTGGCGCGGGCGACGAACCAGTCGACATATGTCATGACGTCGGCCTCCTCGCCGATGCCCAGCAGGATCCATGCCCACCGGGCGGCGTTGGCTCCGTCGATAGTCGAGAAGAGGCCCTTGGGCACCCACTCCGTCGGCTCCTCTTGGAGCAGGAGGCCATGTTCCAGCCGCGGACGTCGACCTGGACAACGCCAATGGGTTCAAGGTTCGAGCCGCCGTCCAGGTGCGTCGTGACACGATCTCGCCGAGGGTGACCGGCGTATACATCTTGGAGGTGGTGTGCTCGAACCACATCCTGGCCAGCACCTCCTCGGCGCCAAGAAGCTCGTGTGCTGGGAAGGTCCGCCGTTTCCCGTCGAGGCGCCGTTCCTCATAGATGTTGACCTGCTGGTTCCACGCCGAGAAAGTCTTGGGAGGCCTGTCAGGAATGGCCTGTGTGGCCGTCGTTGCCGGCGCCGCCGCCGGCGCGGGCGTGGCGGTCGGGGCTGGGACCGGCGACGACGCTGCTGCAGTCCATTGGCGTGTGGCCTCGACGAAGAGATGGGTCATGACTGCTGTGGCCACGTCGTCCTGCCCGTCCTCCACCTTGTGCTCGGTGCCGTCGATGCGGGTGCCGGTGATGTACGGGTGGATGATGTGCGTCGTGAACCTCTCGACGTCTTTGGCAATCAGGGCCAATGTGGGCGTCGTGGTGATCTTCCGGGCTTTGATGTAGTTCTTGATGCTGTCGTTGGCGCCGGCCGCGGCGAGGAGGTCGTCCAGCTGTACCATCGAGGCCGCGACCGTCGGGAGTGCCATGGCTAACAAGACCTACGGCGTCCTATGTCGGTTTCCGTGCTCGAGAGAAAATGGGGGGCTACGGGTGAGACAGCCGTCGGTAAGTTCCGGGCGCGAGCCCTCGACGGGATCTGATCTGAGCTGTGCGTGGTTTTCCTGGGTCGTCGTCCAGTTGGTGCCATGGCCGTCGGGGCCGCTCACGGCTATTGCCGGCGACCCCTCGGCGGAAAACTGGTGACGGCGATCCGTCGATCAAGCCCGGCGTGGCTCAGTCGGAGTCCGACGTCGCTCCGCTAGTGGAGGACGAGGAGCTCGACGATGAGTCGATCGCCTCAGGTGCCTCAACGTCGACGGTTTCCGTCGGGAAGCACTTGCGGCATAAGGCCGGATCCGGCGGCAGCTCGGATAGGCGAAAGAACTGTCGCACGCCGTAAGGCCAGCCACACTTGGCCTGCCAATCCGACCTCTCTGTCGTCGCTTCGTCGACCCCCCGGCTTGTGCACCATTTTGGTGCGGCAGTTCATGACATACCGGGGCGCCGAGTCGCCGATCGCGTCGGCCACTGGCATCCTGACGGGTTCTGGCACGAACTCCACGCCGGGTACCTCTGCCGCGAAGTCGACGTTGGGCACCAGCGGGTGCGAGGCCGGCACCGCCGTATCGGCGTGCCCTGCCGCACTCCCCGTCGGCATCGAGTCCATGATGGCCGACGGCGTCGGTGTCGCCAGGAGCTGGGCCGGCGTCGTTGTCGACGCACCCGCCGCTGCCAATGCCTGAGCTGGAACGCCGGCGGCAACGGCGAGGGGTGCCTGTTGAACATACCGTTCGACGGCGGTGGAGGCCCATCGGCCGAGCAGCTGGATCACGGCGACCGGCACCCCCCTCATCGCCAGAAAGGTGGCACCTGCCACTCTGGCGGCGTGGCCGCCGAAGATCAATCGGCGCTTGCCCTGGTCGTCGAGGTACACCGTCTCGAAGCCGGCGGCGTCCAGCACCAGCCGAAACATCTCGGCTGACTCCGCCTTGGATCTCTGCACCGTCGGTCTGGTCGGAAACAAGAAGTCGGCCGGCGTCGCGGCCGCTGACGCCTGGATCCGCCGAAGGTGGCGGTGTGCGGCGCATCTTGGGCAAAGTGGGTGGGCCGTCGAGGTGCAGACGCATCGGAATGTGCGTCGTGTGAGGTCGGCCTGCCCCCCCTGCGCCGTCTTGTGCAGGGGCATGTCGAGCGACACCGCCGACAGGGTCACCCCGAGGTCTCTGACCCGGGCCGCCGCGAGCTCCACCTCCCTCAGCATAAACCAAGTGGCGACGATAACGACATCGACGGCGTGAGCGACCAAGCCGGCGTTGAAGGGCCCGAATGGTGCCGTGTCGTCGACCAACTTGGTGAGCTCGTCGAGGTCGAAGGCCTGTTTGAGCCTGGACCCTGGCAGGCCCCTCGCCGCTGCCTTGGTCAGCGTCTTGACCACCCGTCGGAGTCCAGGGGTGATCGGCGTGTGGAGGGTGTTCTCCTGATGCCATACCACCGCGTCGAGGTACAGCCCGGTCGACCTGTAGCCGGCGATCCGCATGGCCCCGGCGATGGTGTGAAGCTTGTTGGCGTCGAGCGGGAAGAGGGGAAACTGGCCTCTGTCGGCCAGGGCGCCCACCGTCCTCACCCGCGACTCCATGGCCCGGCGGGTCGACGATGCCAGCAGGTTGGCGGCGAGGGTGTCTTGTCGTCGCCCGGGATCCATGGCCTCCAGTGCCGCCGCCAGTGATGCCCGGGGTAGGGTCCTTCTGTTCGGTACGTCGTGCCTGGGTGGCCTTGCCGCCGTTGGCTCTGGCTGCTGCGGCGGCACCGGCGCAAGGATCTGTAGCAAGAGGCCCTCGGGCACGCCATTCTCCAAAAGGACGGCGAAGGAGTCCCTCACGGCCGGCGTGTTGATCGCGCCGAACCTGGCCAAGGTGGCAATGTAGGCCGAACCGCCTGCCGAGGCCACGTCGCGAAAGAAGTCGGCGACTGTCGCGGATGGTCCCGACGATGCGCCGTGTTGGTTCATGACCGGCGCCCTGAGTCGAGGGGGGTGGGGGTTAGTGCTAGTCGGCGTCTCGAGCCAGAGCAGAAAAGGCTGCGGCGGAAGAAGAAAAGGCAGCAGCGACGACCGAAACGAGCGAAGAGAGAGAGAGAGAGGCCGACAGCGACGGCAGGCGCGACGGGCGAGGCTTCAGGGGCACGGCGCTCTTTTTGTCGGGTGCGTCGGGCTCCGCCAAAAGGGCACCGTGCGGCGTAACCGCCGAGATTAAGCAACTCTGGCAACGACGAAGTCGTCGAAAAGGTAAGTAGTACAGGGCGGCGGTGGGCTCTGATCCTGCCCCCGCCGCCGTCGACTGCCTCAGCGGTGCCGACCCGATGGCCGAAGCCGGGTGACAGGGGCACCCGCTGGCGTCGTAGGAAATCAATCCTGCGCGCCGACCATGCCGTGGCATGCGGCGCACTCGTGACCGATATGGTCACGGCCGTTGCCCTCCAGGACGGGACGTAGACAGCGGCCTAGGCCTGGCTGGTCTACGTCGTAAAGGTCGTCGAAGTGGGGGCAATGCGGCGACGTGCAAGGGCGCGAGCACCAACCAAGCACACGTCGGCCGGCCTCCTGGCTTTGCCAAGGGATCCGGGCGCCGCGTGTGTTGGCGGGTAGCGTCGAGCAGAACCAGTATGCACAGTAAGTGGGCGCCGAGATCGGCGGGGGTTTCGGCTTGTGCCCGTCGATGCCCTGCCTGTCCATGTTCTCCTCGGCGATCACGTCGTTCAACGTCGCCTTGAGCAAGTGCTTGACTGACTTCGGCGGGTCATTGACGGCGCGGGCGCCTCGGCGGTGCATAGCCCGCTTGTGCTGCCGATAGTCGTCGGTCATGTTGACCTCTATCTGGCGGATCCTCTCGTCGCTCAGATGCTCGCGAAACCCCGACGCCGTCTTGGACCTGGATCTTGCCCCCGTCGGTGTCGTCGTCCTGGGGGTGGTCGCAGGCCCGGCGTCCGTCGAGGAACCGGCGGGCTGGTCTGCTGGCCTTGCGCCCGGCGGGAACATCCAATCCGGGCGATCTGCCACCACCGCCGGGGGGGTCGGCGCTCTCGTGGTGGCTGCCCTCGGGCTCGGCGGTGTGGACTGCCATGGCGTAGAAGCCGCCGAGAGCGGCGGGAAGCTGGACCTGGACGGGGGTGCGTCGATCACTGGAGGAGGCGGCGGTGGGTCCATGGTCGGCCGCTCGCCTCGGTGCGTCGATCTCCCTCTGGCTGCCGATGCCTGGCTCCCGGCCGTCGAGTGGGCGTCGTCCTTCGAGGGCCCACCTGCCGAAGCAGTGACGCGGCGATGTTGATGACTTCTTCGGCGCCCCCCCCGCCGATGGTCGAAGCCGGCGTCTGGATGCCAGTGGCGTCGTCAGGTCGTCGTGCCCCCTCTGGCGGGGCCCGCACCCGATGACCAGCCGCGTCGATGTAGTATGCCGGCGTGGCCGTGCCAGAGGGCAACGCCGACTGGGCTTCCATTGCGGCGAGACCCGGGAACCCCGTGATGGTCGGCGACGCCGTGGTCTCGGGCTCCCTCGCCTCCGTCGGGTCCAAGAAGGCCGCCGCAGTCCGGGTAGTAGACGTCGTGGGGGCGTCGAGGAAGACCGTGCCCGACACCTGGTCGTCGTCCCTTGCCGCCGTGGGCTGCGGCGGCTGCCAATGCACCTGGTGTGCCCACGCCGTTGCAGGATGGTCGCCGCCGAGGAGCTCCCGGGACCCGTCGGTGGAGGCGGCGTAGTGGATGCCATCGTCGATGTCCTGGGACCCGGCGATCTAGGCGTCATAGATCCATGCCCCGGCGTGGCAGAGGTGGTCGTCGGTGGCCTTGGTGCCGCCTTCACCTGTATCGGCGTTCCCCCCGTCGTGGCCCGCTGAGGGAATAGCCGCCCCATGTAGCTCCTGCGCTCCTCGTCGGTCGGCGGGAAAGTCGGTGGAACCACGGCCGTGACGGCGAGGAGCTCGGCGAGGGACGTCCTGTCCTCCATGTTCAGACCCGCCGCCAATTCAGCCCAGGCGCCGAAGCCACCGTCGCGTCCCTGACGAAGGACGTTGCGGAGCTCCCGGACGGCGACGTGTACACCGACCTCCGGCGTTGCCGTCGGCTGTGGCTGCTGCGGCGGGGCCTTGCGCAGCATGGGCTGGGCCGTCGATGGAGTCGTCGACATAGCGTCGAGAGGAGTGATCAGAAAGCTAAACTGAAAAGCTTCGTCGAGCCAGAGTGCTGTCGACGTTCGTCGTTTACGGTTGTTACTGCACACACACGTGTGTTTCACAACAATTGACGCCGCGCACATGGGTGAACAAAATGCTGCGTGAATAGGTTCACGGGTGCAGCACACCTAGCAAACAGCCGAGTACGTCGCGTTGAAGTCGAAGAACTTCGGGCTCTGCTTCGGCTTTCCTCGCAGCGCTGACTGTTCCATTGCTGGCTAAAGCCTCAAGCAAGGCCTGCAACTTCTCAAATATACTATGCCCAGTAATCTGGCTGGGCCAAGCGTCCCCCATCTTCTGAGGACGGCAGTGCTGCCAGCGAGTTCTGAACGGCAGACGCTATGCTCGAAGCCACTTTCTTCACTGCCTTGGATACAATTCCACACTCTGCATTCGAGATCACTTCACTCAGCTCATTTCGCAGCCCCACGGCGACTCCACCGAGCGGGTCCGAGGCGAGGAATTTGGAAAACAACCGGTTTCCAAAAAGATTGCTTGCCTTTTGACGACATTTCTGCCTCTGCAGCAACTGAGCTGCATCGTTGGATCCTGCTCTGACCAACAAGGAAAGTTGCTTCTCTTTCTTGCACACTGCCAGCATGGCCTTGTCAGGACGGGGTGCTAGGGGCAGAGGCAGGGGGGGACAGGCGGCCAGATGCCCTGCTCCGGCCTTGCCTTCGGGTCCCCTGCCTTTCCATTGATCGAAATGACCCGATCACCGGCAGCCACCGCACTGGCCGCGTGCTTCTTGTTCCAGGAAGGCACGGCGCCTTCCGCCTGCCAGAGTTCCAGCAAGGAAGAGGCAGAAGTGCTGTCCACCCCCCCATCTCCCACCTTGACACTCTTGATGAAAAGCGTCTTTCCATCTGCCCAGTCAACTTCCAGTCCCAGGCCGGCGACCTTTGTCAGGTCCAGCTCCACCACAAACTCTGCCTTCGCAAACTTTTCAACTCCGTTCACAGACATGAAGAAAAAGGTGCTTTCTGAAAATGGTCGTGGCCCATGATGTCTGAGCTCTGTGCAGGTCTCTCCGACTTTGTCTGCGGAGCCATGGCATCTTGGCTGGCTGGTTGTGGTGAATAAGGTTGCAACTGTGACACTGGACATACTGCCCCCTAGGCAGCATTAGGAACACTAGCCTGGCATGTGGTTGTATGATGAGCAAGCCTCCGAAAGTGGCGTAAAATTGCAAATAAACGGTATATCAGTATGTGATGACATAATCATCTCTGCTCATTTGAGCCATCACCTTCTCAATCACTTGGCTTGCGATAATGACTCGTATGCACACGGCCTGACCTGTTGTTTTCGCCTGCATTCGCGAACGCTTGTCTCCGGCATCTGTACAGTCGAGACAGTTGGGGCCACCCAGACGGTCGGTCATGACAAGCTGCTTAAGCATGGCTTAGGTGACAGGGATACCCAGGTGCACCAGAATGGATCTCGCATCCACCGACAAGTTGGCCAAAACGCCGATAGAAAAGGGGATGAGAGCTACCACTTCGCCACCCGTGTATGACGAAGATACAGGTGACACGCCGAAATGTGGTGAAACGATTGTCCAATTTAGTGTTCGTTAACAAGCTCCGACTTGTCCAGCGTATCTGTATGTGCTCATGCAAGCCATGGCAACGCATCGACAATCTTCAAATAAAGGGGGAATGCGGTTGGCGCCGGACGAGCACAGAGACCTCTCGAGATGGCAGCTTCATGCCTCAAGAATTTAGGTGTCACGCAAATTCAAAAGCTCACCGTGGATTGGTCATTTGAGGCGCCCGAGGAAGCCCGCTTCGGTCGCGGTCTGAGGCGTAGGTGCCGCATCGGCCGAGCTCCCACAACACTCACGGCCCTCGATAAGGACAGCACACAGGTCGAGGTTTCAGCGCCTGGGCCTTGCAAGATCTGCTGGGATGCAATCCTGTTCTGAGCCCTTCTGCGAGATGACAGGGACATGACGTACCGTCTTTCAAGACGATGCTGGCGCAGCTCGATCGCCTTGCATCGTGGAAGACTGCCACTGGCTGGGAAGAAAACAATGTGTCTCAGCTGCACACTGCACCACCCAGTGCAGTCGCTGCTGTTGCGATGCCTGGCTTCAAGGTCAACTGCGAAGTGTCTGCGAAAAGACAGTGATGGAGCATGCTGCATCTCTGCACTCCCACTCCATTTGCCTAAAAACACCAGAGGAGGAAGCTCCCACGAAGCTTCCGAGCACCTTGGCAGCGAATGCCAAAGGAGTGGAGACGGGAGCACCATCATCATGCAGGACGGCGCGAATGCACAAGGCGGGGCGGTGCTACGAAATACTACTGCTGGGATATGCTTCTTCGACGTGCCAACATCCCCGGTCGACAACATCAACTGTCGCATTGTTACGAGCCATTGACACATGCTGAGCACACGATGGCTGGGCCCTGCTTCAAGTCCCCAACCACAGGTAGCCTTCGGGCGGCCTTCGCACCAAGGTACCATCCTTGCAGGGCGGGTAACTGCAGATCTTTGAACTATGCACGAACACTAGCACCTGCAAACACGCGATGACAAACTCGCAAGGCTGAACGTTTACAGGCGATCAGCGAGTTCCCAAGCAGTGAAGTCTTTGTCAACACTTCTGGCCTCACATGCCAAAGTCAAGTCCACGGCGCGGAAGATGTCGGATCCAAGCTGTTCAAGCAGGAGCGAGAAGAGCGAGACTGATTGAGGTTCGAGCAGCCCCTCATGTCACTGGTCGTGGCGAGTTTTGAGCATCTGCTTGCGACACATCGTCTTTCGAGAATAGCGGATAGCCTTAAAGTCACTAAAGGAACAGCATGCCAGACACGCCAGTGTACCTGCCTGGGCACCGAAGCCCGCATTGCAAGCCAAACTGCAAGTTAGGCCGTCTGGGAGCAAAGAGGCGTTTGCTGTCGCTTCGCCTGGGTCAGAGAAAGCATCCTTCGAATGCCGAAGACCGCTGAAAGGAAGCAGAGGGCGAAGCAGCTGCCCATTTTGAGCTTGTAGGCTTCTGGTCCTGCCAAGAAGCGCTGGACACTACTCTCCCGTAGCTTCTTGCATTCACCGTGATCATACCAGCCTGTGAGATTTGATAGAAGGTCACTCACGTTGCAGGGTTCTGCCGGTCGACAGTACTGCAATCCTCGGGTCGCAGAGCACAGGTGGTCTGATGCATGCTACTTGCAGCTCCCGATTCACGATCCGAACGTGAGATCTCGTAAGCTTTGCACGCTCGTCCTCTGAAGCTGGCTCTCTCACAAATCCATGCCAGCATTTGCAGTCCTGGACGAGAACATACTACATCTGCTGAACCGGGCAGACAGGCAAATCATGCAGTCAACGAACGAGCAGAATCAGCACACATGCACGTCTCTCATGACAGACTTGATGAACCATATAGCGAACAGCGATCACAGGCAAACAAGGAAAGAGGTATGCGAGGCACAGAGATAAACAGAGATTGGCGGTGCCAGGGGATGACTCAGGACCGGAAGACCGCAGCCGCGCCGAGTCCTCGTGCCGGTGTCTGTGGAAACCGACAACGCTGGAATTGTTGGGGCAAGGAATGCATGACCTCGATTCACCGAAGGAACAAATACAGACGACCGAGCTGCTTCGGCGATTCGGTCCCAAGGCTGCAGCAGCAACTTGTTGCTTGCATCCCGCAGCTCGTAGTACGTGTCCTCGGCGCAGCTCCAGCTGTGAGACGTGCCTCATCACACTCTAATGAGAGGGTGCGGGCCGCACGGGTCTCACCAACTACAACTCGCTCGAAAGTGAATCCTTGCATGAGGGGTGAGAATGAGGATGATCGCTGCGCAACCAATCCGAGTAGGTGCCGCGCATGACACATGCAGGCTTCGGCAGACGTCCTGACCCAACGTGCCAGTGCCGACGTGGAAAGCCTGTCTACTTAACATCGACTCAGGGATCCTGCCAGTCCCGTTCGTTTGAGACCCTGGAGGACATCTCGCACATGGCCACGGGCCTTTCGAGTCAATCCAGCACTGGACGGCACTCCGCGCAATGCAACATTTGACAAAAAGATAGAAACCGCTACCTGCCTTGACCCGATTTGTATGTCGAGAGTGGACATGGCCTGAGTTGGCATAGACGGGTCTGGATAGTCGAACCAGTAACAAAGCTTCGCTCATTACCGATAGTCTCCACTCTGACAGAATCTTCAACATAAGATTCTTGAGCAGCCTGTCTCGAACTGAAGATCTCGGCAGTGTCTAGTACATCAGCTAGACATGCATACTTTGTACAAAGCGGCTCTTTGTGACAGCCCTTCATTACCTCAACTGCCGTTGAAGCTGACGGTGGCCCCCTTGCTGTTCTCTTGACAGCACGCCCTCAGAACAGTGGTTCTTTTACAAAGCCCTTGGTGAGTACATACATCATCTCTGGCCATTGAATGATATTGAATGCGGAGCAGTGTGCCCTGCCAGCTTCACTCCAACCGAAGATTGCTTTGCATGCTAGAGCGCAGGATTTGAGACAATGTTTAAGCATCTGGCACGCATGTAGCCGGCGAATCGGTGCTGACCTGCACAGCGGCACTTCTGCTCGTTCTGACAGCTTGAACAGCATACCGGCAGCAGCTGACATTCTCTCGTTGTTATGTATGCCTGATGCCCGGCCGGACATGGCCACCCTCCAGCAGGTATGCCTGGTCTCAATTGCAAACTACCACATTCCGATACCAGCCGTCTCGCTTTGGTGGCCCAGGGCCCAGGGTCCGGGACTCTAAATCGACCCTGAGCCGATCAATTCACCAACACTTGTCTTCAGGGCTTGTACTACTTGGTACGTCCCACGAAACCCTGTGCCGCTTTAGTCCACACAAAATCACACAAACCATGATGTACTCCCGATGCATGGCATGGCTTCGAGAGCTCATTGACTTGTCCTTTTTTGTTCTATCTCATTACAAAGCAACAAGCTGGAACTTGCAAGATGACGTACCTCACCATCGGAGCTTTTGAGGGGTACCTCACGCCTACTGGAGCTACTAGACTTCAGAACCGAGTTTTACAAGTTGCGCAAGCACGAGTGCCGACATGCGTCAATGGTCTCGACAGCTGAGTTCATGACAAACGAAGTCACTGAGATTGCCCAGGTAGCAGGTGACATTGTCACCTGCGGGTCGTGGCAACATGGGATGACCTGGTAACATGCCTAGGGGACGTACTAGGGAAAGCTTAGACACGGGCTGAGTTCCTGCTCGTCGGGACACTGCAGTTCGCAAGTCTCACCTGACCTGATACACAGCACTAGCGCAACAGTGCAAACCAACCATGTCGCAGAATACCCAAGTTGCACCAGGGTCATACAGCTCTGACCGGATAAACATTGAAAATTCAATACTGCTGCAGCTGCTGGGAGTCAAGCTCCAATATCTCTGGACAGTCTCCCATCTCCAGGTCGAGTAAGTCCAAAGCCTGCGGCCGCAGGAACTAGTATGCACGGCATCCTCACTGAGAGGGGCCACAGTACGTTGCGGTTTGTCTGTGCCAGCCGTGGTCTACGATGCTGCTTGATACTGTCTGATGTTGTTTTCCGTCTCGTCCTACAGTACTGACAACATCTTTGCTTACGGTGTTAGGCGCATAACAGCGCATGATGCAACGACAAAACCTGTCATCGTGAACCATAGCACGAAACTTTGCAACTTCCCCTCATCGTAGGTATTCACTCAACCTGTCAATGCCGGGCGATTCTGAACAGGAGAGGCTGCGCGCACAGTACAAGTTGAAACAGTGCGGCACACAATGCAAAGCCACATGTCTGACAGCCCTGCCTCGGACACGTTGCATCCGCTTGGCACGCAAGAGGGCATGCCTGCACTTCTTCCCTTTCATCCACAGCCAGGCACGTCTCTGGTGTGCGCGTTCCACCCCCATGGCATCCCGGTGCCAGCCCCGTTCAAGCCATGTGAAGGATACAGAGGGCTGAGGGGGCGGGGGCGCCCATGATTGCCGGCACATGTTAGGCCTTAGGCACGGGTCGCTGCCACCACAAGCGTTCGTTTGATTGGCGATTCCAGCTTTTCGGGAACTCTTGGGATCCCTAGGCTGTGCCTCGGGGTCACCTTGCATGCTGCAGTTTGCGGTGTTGTATAAGATACTGATTTTCCATCGGATTACCGCTGCAGAAACTTGGAATGTGATTTCGGGTTGAAGGTTCGTGCGGACTCGAACAGCGAACGTCAAGACTGCTCCCCGCTGCAGTCACGAGCTAGCATTTGCTCAGCACCCCTCCTTTGAGTTTTGCTTTCCCTAAAACGACGATGCAAGATTTCATGCGTTGGCACGGGATTCAAAAACCCCTCGTTCGCATTGAGGGGGCAGGTTTGAAGATTCGGTTTTGGATCCTTCGTCGCAGCCTTCTCCATCTTTTCCTTCCCCCTTGCGCCCGAGTTTTGCTTCTGCAGTTTGCTCGACTCGTGTCTTCGCAGCTCCCAGATCGCGCTGTCCAATATCAAGCTTCATGCGGCTCAGCTGTGCTGAGAGAAGCCAGCACCGAGAAAGATTGAACAGCCAGCCGGACTGAAGTCGTGCAAGAAGTTCTGTCTCTCCCAACCTATGAGGCTAGTGCAGCAGCCTGGGGAACTCATAGTTTCGGGATTCTGGTTTCTATAGGCAGGAGCAGTTTCGGGGCCCTGTTTTGGCACAGTGGGGGTCAGTTTCGGGGCGCTGCTCTGTCAGTTTCGGGGGGGTGGGCTGAGCCCTGATCCGAAACTACCCTGGCCATTACTCCGTCCCGAAACTTAGCGCCGAAACTGAGCTTTTCAAAGTTTGCTGCCTATGTGGCCGTCACGGCGGCGCGAAACTGAGAAGGCATCCGTTCCACTGCACACACCCCCAGTTGAAGCGAAAGTCTGGTTCCGTTCCTGCTGGTTGAAGTATGGGGGATGCAGGGGCCCAATGGACAGAGCTTGCTTGGTCAGCATCGTAGGAGCCCCACGCAGTTGACCTGCATCGCAGCTGACTGGGCCATCCAGTACATAACCCTCTTCGCAGGCTGGCCTTGGACATGAGGCCGATGCTGGAAGGCTCACGCATGCAGTGTAAGTAAGCCTCGTACAAACAAGATGAGCCTGAAGACAGTGCCTGCCACAGCTTCAGGTAATGTGCAAAGCGGCAACTTGGAGGGGAATGACAAATGCATCCGGCCTGTGGGCAGTTTCCGAGCTCGCCATGCTGTGGGCCCTCTTGGACGGAGCAACCACCAACCTCGTCTTCAGGGCCAGCACACTTGCGATGTCTTGATGGGCAATGGGTCCACTCTGAGTCCAAAGCCTGCGCGTGGACATGTTGGTAGACACCGAGTACTGGGACGAAACCAGGGGTCTCTGTGCTCGCGGTTTTTCACAGATCTAGTTGCTTCAGTCTGCTCCCGTCTGTCCATCTATGGTCAGTTTCGGAGCAAGACGTCGAATATGCATGGCTATCCGAATCCGACCGCTCCTGCACATGCTGTCATTGTGTGACAGCAGAGCCGTCCGCCCATAGCAAGGCCGCATCAACCTATGAATTCCACGAGGTAAATAAAAGCCCCGGACTGCTTCGCTACGGCTGTGCCCGGACAGGGCGAGGCAGTACATCGTCGCTTGAAAGTATCGCTGTGAATCAGCAGCTACCAAGGTACTGGATCCCAAACAAAGTTTTCACTGCTGCCTGACAGTTTAACAACAAGCAACGCTTGTTAGAATAAAGGCTCTGCTTAGGTGCTGCTTTCTCTGCCTGCTCGAAGGTGTTGGACAGAAGTCGGTGCTCGGCAGAAGAGTCTGTGATGCAAACTGTCTCAATGCCGAGGAATCTGGTTCGGTCTCACGCTAGGCCTAGTTTCAACAATGACCTGGGCTTGCAGGCTGCATGGATGGGTCTAGCCCTTGAAGCTCAAAGCAGTTTCCGGAAGAAACGCTCGAAAACGGAAGCACTGACCGAAGCCTTCATTGCGGCATGTCGAACTTATGAGCTGTATGGCTTTCTGCACGTTGTGAACATGCCGCGCATCTTGCTGCACTAGCTACAGACAACTTTGGCCTTTTCTCTGACAGAACCCGTTGGAGAGAGGGAAGCTGAACACGACTCGCAGATGCAAACGATGCTTGCACTGCTCTCCCTCCGACGGCTGCAAGCTTGCCATGCGGCAAGCTGTGCTTCTGCACATTAACGTGTGAAACCACACACCCACACACACACACACACACACACACACACGACGCTCGAATGCTGATGCGCATCACCTGCATGGCTAGCAGATGGTCTTCCACCGACAAAGGAGGACTGCATGACCCATGAAGTTCAGCCGACATTTTGGCCTGGAGCAATCTGAACGCTCTCATGCCTTTCTCGCACCTGATGCTAACACTGAAGAAGGACACCTCCAATATAAAATAATTTTGCAGCTCGAGTATTACTGAGAAGATGGCTCCTCGTTGGCCGCCTTTTCCTTTCTCCTGACAGCCGCTTCCCGTCCTTCCTGTCACCGGTTTCATGCTCGTCGTCTTCCCCTGTACCAAAGCATGCGCAGGTCTAAATCCAGCCCTCGCTTCGAAGTAGTCCCAAGTCTGAGTTTATGGCTGGCAGCATCTGTGATCAGTGTGCCGTCAGGCTGCAGCTTCATGCCTGCAGCATGGCCCACCTCTACATCAGAAACCTCTGCATTACACACCCCTCAAATCCCTGCGCACAAATGTCGAAGGTCGATGAGCCTGAATTCTGGACATCGTCCAGGACACGGCCTGTCTTTTCGTAAAGAACAACACATGACCCAATGTCTCAAGTGCTGTCATTAACAGAGCCCTGGCAAACAGTCCGAAGTGCGCATCAAGTGGAGAAACTCGAGAAAATCCAAATGCCTGCAGGTTCTACATGGACCAGCAACTGGCTGTTGAGGTCTGACATCCTAGTAAAATAAGGACACCACCCGTTTCCATCCGCATCAATTTCATTCGCCTGCAAGTCGCGGCATCCATCTCAGCCCCGTCACGGCCCATCTCTGCCAGTCTCGGATGCACACGTAACGCTGCAGTCTCGCTCCTGGGATCTGCCATCCTGGGCTGGGCCACTGCGGGTCTCATGCAAGAAATTCATAGAACTCAGGCGTCCACGCATCTTCGCCAAAGCCTGCTCAACCTGCGTAGAACCGAAATGGGGCATTGGCAAAAGCCTCTTGAAGCCGTAATGAGCTTCCTTCATGAATGCTGTCAAGCACTCTGTGCTTTACACCTCGACCCTTCGCCGCCAAATCATCACATGGCCAACCAGGACTCCACCTCAATGCCTCACTTCCTCTGACATAGATTCGGCACGAAGCTGGACAAAAAATCACTTACATGCAAACGCCAAGCAGAACTACTTCGGCCTGATTGATGGGAACCAAGCCCTCTCTGTCTTCGTCAAGCTCCTGTCGGCTTTTTGTTGGGCAGCTGGTACACAGCTTCTGATAAGCTCGTGATGGCCTCGAATGTCTCTCGGAGAGTGCTTGCTTGCTTCCTCGTGAAATTCAACGCCTCGCCGCCCGCAGCTGACATTCTGTCGGTCTTGGATGCAGACATGTAGCAGGCTGCTTTCCGGGTACATGCAAATCGCTTTCGCGCACTTTCGTGAACTGTTTCCTCTTGGTCTGCAGATCTAAGTCATGTCCTTCGAATACTGCTAACGAATTTGCGATACCAACAAGTGCTGCAAAGCACACAAAATGCAGAGAGAGATACCGTGGAGAAAGGAAATGCGACCGGGAGAGAGAGATAGACGAGAGAGCGAACGAGAGAGAGAAAGAGAGAGAGAGGAGAGAGAGAGAGAGAGAGAGAGAGAGGGAGAGAGAGCCAGACAGGCTACACTTTGCACCGGTGTTGTGCCGCTGCCACTCGCCGCACGCTTCCCAACCATTCCCAACCACCCTGTCGACGTATGCTCAATGGAAAGCACTCAGCATCCCACCCCTCATCGCACGTTCAACATATCTGTGGTTGAGGACAGTGGATGTAGAGCAACGATTACGTTGCCCGCCGTTGCAACTCGAATAGGCCATGAAAGAACCCGCCAAGCAGCTGGAGACTGATCCAGCTGAATGTGTTCGGCAAACACCGCAAACAGAAGCTACTTGGTAAACGGGTGAGATGCATCACCCATGCTGCAATGGTGCAGATGTGGAAGACTTAAGTGAAGCAGCTGGGAATAACGACCCTCATGAGGCCTTGTCCGAAACGTTGTTTTTGATGTTATTGCATGGTTTTGCAAAACAGCTCTAGCACACTGCGGGGAACACCCCGCTATCCTTGCCCTTCAGCGAAAATACTGTAACATCAGGTTACTTGTATTCAGTGATGCCCAACACGCCACCAGAGCCCAAATCAGAACCACAGCTTCTTCGCTCGAGCCCCTCAACCCCAAAAGCCATGCTCAAACCAAATGCAAGCCTCTCATGTCAATGTGAATCGCAAGTTAGCCAAACACGCTGGCAACTTGCCTGCGCCTTTTTCAAGATTTCCATGCGATCGAGTTCGGCAATGCGCTCGTTTATTCTCTGCACCTGTACCATTCCGCATCAGGTGTCGAGTTGGGCATGGTGCTTCTCAGTCTGATGGGCCGGCCAGCAACAAAAGCTCGTTCACGTTCAGGTGCCCGCTTCCCTCAGAGTCTGCTTCCTGAGGCAGGCAAAACAAACGCAACGCTCTGCCTTTGCGGTGAAAAACAATCCTGTTCACGGAGCCTCAATTAGCTGAGCCATGTTCTCCTGCAGCGTGCGATTCTTCGTCACAGCTACACCTCACCCACCTTACCCTTTGCTCTCTCAGGACTTGCCTGCTCGAGCACCGTTCTGGGCTTGATGTCGAGGTGCATGAGGATTTGACAGACATCCTTCAAGGAATACGGACACGGCTGCGGCATCACTCAGGCTGCTGCTGATGCTGAACTGTCCTTTATGGTCAGCTTGTCTGACCGATCACGGTCGTAGTGGTTGAATAGAGACTCAACCTGTATGTGTGGGTGCTCATGAGCACAGGACGACCCGCCGCGAACTCTCAGAGGTCGGCAGCATCCATTTTCTCATCCATTCCCAGTGTGCGCAACCGCTTCACGACGGAGAGAAACCTGGTCAAAGGAATGCCGGCGGCTGTCCTTGTTCTTGTGCCGCCGGGCTGCGGGGTCTGGGGGCCGAATCATCATACTCCTCATCATCATCAACCACATCATCAGCATGATGAGCATGCTCATGATCATGACGATGATAACCACGACCACGATGACGATGACGGTGGCGGTGGCGGTGATGGTGATGCTGTTGGTGTTGGTGATCGTGGTGGTCATTGTGCTGGTGATGATGGTTTCCTGCTCCTGCTCCTTCTCCTGCTCCTGCTGCTGCTGCTGCTGCTGCTGCTGCGGCTGCTGGAGCTGCTGCTGTTGCTTGCTATGGCTGTCGCTGTCGCTGTCCCTGTCCCTGTCGCTGTCACTGTCGCTGCTGCTCCTGCTGCTGCTGCTGCTGCTTCTGTCGCTGTCGCTGTGGCTGTCGCTGTTGCTACTGCTGCCGCTGCCACTGCTGCTGCCGCTGCTGCTGCTGCTGCTACTGCTGCTGCTGCTGTCGCTGTCGCTGTCGCGGTTGCTTTTGCTTTTGCTGCTGCTGCTGCTGCTACTACTACTACTGTCGCTGTCGCTGTCGCTCTCGCTGTCGCTGTCGCTGTCGCTGTCGCTGTCGCTATCGCTGTCGCTGTCGCTGTCGCTGTCGCTGTCGCTGTCGCTGTCGCTGCTGCTTTTGCTGTTGCTTTTGCTGTTGCTGCTGCTGCTGCTGCTGCTGCTGCCGCGGCTGCTGCTGCTGCTGCTGCTGCTGCTGCTGCTGCTGTCGCTGTCGCTGTCGCCGTTGCTGCTGCTGCTGTCGCTGTCGCTGTCTCCCTGTCGCTGTTGCTGTTGCTGATACGCGGGTCTGGCAGGACCCTGGCCGGTCTGCGCGAGCGACTGTGGAAAGCTTTGCCAACCGTCCATCCATGACACGTTCGACACATAGCATCTCACAGCCGTACGCAGACGAGCACCAAGCCTGGAGAAGGAAAGTGTGTGGTCCTCGGATGCGTTCAAGTACCACTCAATGATCTCCTGAGTCGGATGGAGGCGACCAGGGTTGTGTTCGAGCATCTTCTAGCCATCTATAGCCATCTCAAGCAGTGCTTTTTGCTTGACAGTTGTCCTCAGCTTGAAGCTTCTTCTCGATCGACATGCCTGACTGCGGCACAACACTGCACAGCACAGCACTCTTCGAAAGACATTCTCATCTGCGCAAACACCGTCTCCGCTCGTAATGTCTGCCGCGTGGCTTGATACGTTGCTCAAGCATCCAAAGTGTGTCAGTAGGTTCATGGCCTGAAGGGGTCATGAAACGGCAGATGTAAGAAAACGAACGATAATCAGCTCCTCGAACTGCCAGATTACTGCCAGCCTCGTTCTCATCCAATGCTCCACTGTCATCATCATCAAGCTCTACGAAAGACCTCAAGGAGATTACGGAGTCAGCAGCCTTCGAATTTCTGCATTTTTTGCAAAACATATCAGAGAGATCTCAGAATGGCAAATAAGAACAATTACGGAAATGCAAACGTACACAAATCATGCACCATGTCCACTCCCGGCACTCCAGCACCCACATCAGCCACGTCCCCCGAGCGTCTCCCAAATCTCTCTCTCAATGCTGGCGCTTGCGATTGAACTCGCTTAATCGGGATGCTTCGGCTACCAGCATGGCCATCGCGTGCAGACTGCCCTAAACACAACTGCAACTATGTTCACACATGGCAATTCTTGCCGTCCTGCTGCACGCATCGCGAGGTTCTACATCGTGTTTCTCGGCGAAGTTACCAGATACCAGTAGCTTTCCCACCCCACACACATCTTCAACAATCCTCAACCTTTGTACAGGCACTGAACACTGCCACATCCGCCGAAAGACTGCATCGCTGCCCGACTGGGCCGGCGACTCATGAAATCTTATTAGCTGGCTGCGAAACCTGAGATGTTCACTTGCATTCGCTTGAGAAACATTCACTTGCATCTCGGCTCATTGCAGCACGGCAGCTCTTGAAACATGCTGTCTGACAGCTGGTACTCCACCTGTGAAGATCATACACGGTAAACCGCACGGATTCACAATCTACAAAATCAGTTTGAGTGCGTGATCACAGTTCCCAATGTCTGCACCTGGAGCTTCCGTTCTTGGCTTCGTTGAGTCTGCATCATATACTCCCGGACTGCTGATACCAAGAATTCCACCTCGGCAAGAGACCCTGCAAGGTCGGGGCAGAGTAACTCTGCTCGGCTTGCCTCCGTCAGTCCAATAAGGCCAGTGGCCTTGGCGACAGCACACGAAGCGAATCGAAGCGATGCTACCAGAAGCCTGCAAGGATGCCCGCCGGATCTGTGCGACAGTCAGACACCATAGCCTTGCCAAGCCAAAGAACAACAACTACAAGTAACAAATGTGGCCACAGTGCGGCCTCGACATTCTGCCGTTCCAAGCTATCCTTGCCGAACGCCAGTTGGAGATCCTGCAACGCCATAGCGAAGCGCTGCTGCTTCGCTGCCGTAGGTGTGTTTGTGAATTTGGCTCGGCGGAGGTGACGGGCGCATGGTTGCTCCACCCTCCACGGGGAGCGTGGACATGATCCAAAAGGTTAGGGGTTAGACGCGACTGCAGGAAAAGCCCATCCCAACTTTTGGCTAAATAATGCTAAATGTACGAATCCCCTTCGTCCTCCAAAAGCTGCAGGACTGCATCTGGCTTCAAGCCCCCGGCATCCTGCAGTGCAACGTGTAGGCTGGAAGTGGAAACTGGTTGGAGCCCACAAGCCTGCAAACAGAATGAGTTGCACCCAAAAGCTGGGCGTTTGCGAGGCTGTGATCTTGGTCACTTTGCACCAATCGGCCTCCTTGTCCGCGTACTTCCAGGCCTGAAATACCTCGGCAGTGCAAGAAGAGGTGATGCTGCTTACAACATGGGTGTGTGCTCGTTGGCACAGGCACGGTGAGTACACGAGAATCGTGCACGTGTTGCGAAGGAGCATGAAGCAGACTGAGTTTCTGGCAGCAAGCGATCTCGTTGATCTCAGTTTGCTTCGGGCCTGCAGTGGAAAATTAACCTCCCGACCAGTGCCCTGAGCCGCAATGCTATCGAGGAAAATCGCCTCCTCTATGATGGAGCAGAAGTTGTTGAAGCCGATCTGGTCCCCCTGTGCAACACACATCGTTTTCTTCACACACCTTCCAGGAACAAGAAAAAAACAACTGCTGGGGTGACATCACGGATCTGCCCTTGGACTTGGACATGGAAGTTTAGCAAGCGATCAACTACCCCCTGCCCCATGTTTCGGTGCCTCGTACTCACTCCTGGCATGGAGGGCATCCCAACATGTGGTGGCGGCACATCTACCAAAAGCATGGCAACGAAGACCTCCATACCCCACAACCACGGCAAACCTAGCACAGCTGCTGCGGTGAGCTCACCAACTAAAGAAGCCCAACGTAGAATCATGTATCCCTTGCGATACAGCCAAAGCGATAGAAAGCCGAGCCGTTCAATCATGCCAGGAGTTGCAGCACGGATTTCAACGCCAGCTTCTCTGTGCGGCTTGAGGCCTTCCGCCAAATCCAAACGAAAGCGAGTGCAGCAAGAAGAGTAAGGCCGTAAGATCGTGGTGATAGATTTGTCGTGCCTTGATCCCGAAATCTGCCAAGGCTTCTATGATGTCGTCCGCATTCCTCTCCCCGACCCGAGATCATACGAGGGGAACCCACTGCCCACATCACATCACCAACCAACTAAGCCCAGTTCCACAAGTTGCTGGATTTGGAGTGGAAATAGCGCACGAAGCACTCCTGGCTAAAGCTCAATCCAGTGACGAGTGTTGAAAGAGTTGCACATTGATTCGAAGAACTGGTGGGGAAAGCCAGGTGATGAGCAGGCTCATCCTTTCACTGCAACACTGTGGACCAATGTTTTGAGATACGTTTCGACCTTGCGAAACTCAAGATCCGATTCCTTAGAATCCCCACGTCGCTGCAGAATCCAAGCGGCCGAGGCGACAGAAATCCCAGTTTACCCAATCAAAAATGACCTTCTGGTCCTTCTTGGCACTACCTGTGGATGATTGTGGATGACGAATTTGCAGAGGATATTACAGAGGCTGGGGCCGACATCCTTGCGGCGCGGGTGGGAAGAGCCTTTCTTCATGTGAGTTGGAGATTAACCAACACCAACCAAAACTCCCGAACTCAAGAGATTCAGCAAGATGATTGCTGAAATTACTGAATATACAGTCCTTACAATATCCACTACGGGATAGGAGAGGCTCGGGTTGGTAACACCCTAGAAAACTTTCAAATCATAAGTCATCGTAAACCCCCAAACCCTGAAGCGGACACCAGGATGTGGTTGAGGTCTGTTCTGGCCACAGGTGTGAACTCAATGCAGGCGACTCAGATTCGTGATTCAATAGCGTGCTACGACCAACTCGAGACAAGCGGAAAGCGGTCCTGCGCCACATCAACCTCGTATCGATCCACCTGCATCAGTCAAACGGGCCAAGCAGCTTCTCTTTCAGAAGCCCTTCAGGCACGCGACCCTGTCACGGTAGCCAGCCACGATAGTGCCGTCAGACTGGTCCTTCAACCTGTGACAACATCTTTATTCGGCAAGCCGTCGTTCCTGCTCTGCTACGAACCTTTCTCGTGCCATAAAAATCCATAAAACATTTTGCCGCCCTCAGATCAACATGTTGCCCCCGCTCAGATCGGACTGCTCTCAAGCGAATTCGTTGTGGACACCGTGCGTCCATGCACTCAGCAGATGTAAGCTGTGCCCCAAAGCACGGCGGAGAAGGAATCTGAAATTTCAGAATTTGCGATGCCAAAGATCGCCTACTCAGTCTCCCCAGAAAGATGAAACCCGCGCACACCTAGGCACGCTTCCAGCTCCCACCAGCGTTGAAGCTATCTAGACTTACAGGCTCGCTCCCAAGAGTCTGCATCAAAAGTCGAACTTGAAGCTGCCAGCTGCAATGCTCGCAACCTGCCAGGTGCAGATTGCATGGATCCTGCAATCCTCAGCAAGCACTCGGGAAACCTCCTGCTCGGTCAGGAAAGAAGACCCCTTTTGCGGCCGCAAGCCACTGACGCCTGCAAGGCGCGCAGCATGAGTCATGAGATGCCATGAGTGCTGTCGTCAAGACCACGCCAACTGCCTCCGGAGCTCAAACGCCGTCGCGGCTGCTGCCTCGACTTGACATGACGCTTCAAGACACGATCCGGCTTGGATGATGGTCACGACCGATCCCAAAGCAAATCCAAGCCAGTGTTTTCCGAATATGATTCCCATTTCTGAGCGGCAGCAGCGAGGCCAGCGGTGCCAGCGATCCGGCGTTGCCGAGTGAGCACCTGGACCGCTTGGCCTTAGAGCTGACTTTCTCTGCCACATGCGAGACCTGTGAACAACGAAATTGCTCCCAATATCCACAAGTAGCATCTGGGCTGTTGGCTGAAACAGGCTTGGCAGGCTCCACTGCATGCGACAGGGCAGGTGGCACAGCAGGCGGCGGTGGCACATTCGCAGGCACTGGATCCTCCGCCACCTTCGCCCTGCGAGATGAGTCTCGACATGTAGCGGAAAAGGGACGCAAGCACTTGGAATCAGAATCACACAAACCCTTCTAAAATACGAGCTTCCACCGGACCTTGTCACTTCGCCAATGCACTGAAAGACCCTGAGATGAACGACAATCTTGAGTTGCAGACCCCACGGCGCTCGCCGGCTCCATCTCGCCCGTGCGCAGGCTTGCTTGGACCTGGAAATTACAAGTTCAACACGATGCATGCCTGTTTGGTTGGCTCGTGAAATCAGTTGTGATTGAGACGAGTGTGGCTCTTTTCGTCTAGTGGGTTGTGCTCTCCATCGTGGACCGGTGCTCAGCTCCAGCAGTGCGAGGCCACACAATCGAACTTGGGAAAAGTTGAGACCAAGAGACCTCAAAACTGCATCAACACTAAATCGAAACTAGCACTAGGAGGACCGCAAGGGGTCGTCTAAGAATGCTTTCGTCTGGCTTATTCTGGCGCATCTTGGCTGGGCAAGTCATGTTCTGCATGCAAGGGACATCTCCCTGAGTTGATCATAGTTCTTGAATCAAGTTTGACTTCTTACACACATGTCTTCGCGTGCTGCATCCTACGATGTTGTGTTGCATGAAAATACTTCGCTTGAGCGTGCACCCCAAAATGGAGAGCAAGGGCAAACCACACGACTATCAGTTTCGAGCAGCAGTGTTTCATGATAGGTAGTCATGCGCAAGCAAGAGGTCGAGCAGCAAACAAGCGAACAGATCATGATCGCTTAGAGGACTACCAGCTACTAACGCACCAACCACTCCAGCAACAAGGCCAGTTCACACTTTTGTCACGCCACTTCTACGAGCAACTACTACTCAATACCAAGAAGGCGTGTCCTATCTCCACACGCTCTTGAACTCATGCTGGGCTTCAGAAACCTAAATCCCAAACCCCCAAAACAGCTCAAAACCCTGCCAAAACAAGCCAGACTTTAAACACTAGACTAAAACTACAGCAAATCAAAAGCCCAAGCCCCAAAAAGCTCAAGCCCCAATCCCTGAACCCTAAACCGACAAACACCGCCAAAAGGCCACACAATGTAGCCATACCCTGGGCCCAAAAACAGATCTGAAGCTTACACTTGTACCTTGACCCCGATGCCCTGAAACCGGGACCCCAAAGCCGGAACAAGCCAAGCCTTCGACACACAGACGAAACGTAACGTTGAGCCCTAGAACCACAAAAGAACTGGTCCAACGAGCCAAACTCTAAACCCAAAAATTCTGGATGCACCAGAAAGCGCAACCCAAAAACCTCAACGACGTCAAATCGCAAACCAAGTCACACACCCTCAACTGCCTGAACCATGGACCCTAAACTAAACCCCAAATGCTGCACCCTTGCTCCAATGCCCAACCAATCCAAACTTGATTCTGAACTCCTGACGAAAACTTAACCCATCCAAACACGGCCTGAACCCTGTGCAACCACCCACCTTAAACCCTGACCGGCCACAAACCCGAAACCTGAAGAAAGTGAGAACATGAAGACAAGGGAATATACGAACGAAGCCAGGTCCCCCAGGCCGAAACGATGCCAAACCCTGAACCGGTCACATCACACCGCACCGTCGGACATGTTCACTTGCAAGTGCTTGCCTGAACCAGTCCAAAGCCCGGCACAGGCCCTTAATCCTAAAGTGTGCCCGCTGAGGCATGGACGCCAACCCCAAAGTGCCCAATCCACACCCGAGGGCAAAGACTAAATCCTGACAAGTCATTTCTTGACTCTAAACGCGACGAAGCCAAAGTTGAAAATCCCGATAGAAATCCGTGAACACTAAAAGACCCCCAAGCCCTGTGTACAACCACACACACTTGCCCCTAATGCTACAAAAGAAGCGACCCTCAACGTGGCCATTTCCTAAAACACGTCAGAAGCCCTAAACCCCAGGTTGAAGTCTGATGCACGGACCTTCAAGCCTGAACTCGAAACCTGGACCAGAGTGGAAACAAAGCCGAAATCCATCACGATGGCGGAGTTGAAGGTGGCACTTTTGGGTGTGTCGTTGACCCCTGGCTGCTCCTGACTTGGGCTCACACTTCGAAGGTGTTCATCGCTGGACCCGCAGCAACCATCTTTTCCTAACCGAGCAGAAATCGCGACACCGCAGTAGAGGACTGCCACGACGACGGAGCGTCCGCCTTCTGCCTCGGCTCGCCACGACCACGCCCACGACCACGGACGCGGCCGGCGCCGCGTCCACGCAATGAGGACTGCAGTCGGTGTGCCAACCGCAGTCTTCAACGAGCAATAGCAGCAAAAGCTTGATTTGGCATTTACATGACTCTTGAGTTGGCTTTCCGCGCCTCACTTGGCCTCGCTGTTGGCCAGGGAACCTGACAAATGGAGTTGCTTCGTCAGGGGCACCCTCACCAAGTTGCGCGCGGATTCACCGATGGACCGTGCAAAAGCAGTTGCAAGAGCCATACTACGTTGCCGGTGCATGCACATGCCGAGAAGCCACCTCCAGAATTGCTGCATGTTGAACGGATTCTGCGCACAGTGGGTTGTACGCACCTCACAGTATTGGTGTTTGGGAAGCCTGCCCACATGGCTTTGAGGAATACATGAGGCCCGGGCTGAGCGGGGGCAAGGCATCCAGGCCCAATGGCGCAACGCCTGATAGCCCAGAATTTTGCGAAGAAAGCATACCATCTATCACACGACATCTGTACGGCCTTCTGCATTCATTGCGTCCGACGTTTCTCCAACAGCCTGCAAGGTTTTTAGAACGTGAGTGGAGGAGTGCCGCTCATGCTCCGGCAGAGTTGCACCTGCGGTTTCTACTGCCATGGCATTTCACAACACCCCTGCCTTACTCTGCACACCGAGAAGGCTGGTCTGGGCGAGTGGTAGCCGGGCTTTCAAATTATGTCATTAACATCTGATGTCATTTGAGTCAGTTGTCTTCAACCGCAGACACCCGACTTAGAAAAAGACGCTGCGCAAGGGTTTCTGGGCCCAATTCTTTCTGAGCTCTCCACCGTGTGATGGTTGGCCAGTCCGTGCAAGACCACCTGGAAAAGCGGGAGAAAGGCTGGGGAATGGGCCACCGTATGGGAAGTGACCAGGAAGCTGGCCGAGTCTCGAGAATCGCTTCCGACTGAGGCCAGCCAGTGAAAGCTGCGGCATCCTTCAAAGAAAAGCAGGCAGGTATGAAAAAGTATGCAATGCATGTGACGCTTTGCACCACCTGTTTTCAGCTCCAGCGGACAAACCTGCCACGAGATGTGACGCTATTGTGCTGCATGGACTGCGCCTGTCCGTGTTTAAGTAGCTGGCTCTCAAGTGTTGCTGTTCACAGGGCAAAAGCACGAAAGCATACCGATACATGCACATGGAATCAAAGGTCTACCTCGGCATGGGATGCAGCGCAGCCAACATGACTGCAGAGTGTGGCCTTTGAAGCATAGAGCGCGGCGTGACCTGTTCAAACAAGCAAGCTCACGACCATGCCCAGTAGGTTTGATGCTGCCCAAAGGACCCCTCAAAAAAGGCCCCCCGACATGGGAAATAAAGTACCTTCGCTTGCTTTGGATTCTGCATCGTCGGTTCTGCCTTGTGCCAAGCACTTTGCCAGCTTCTCGAAAGACGAGCCGGCGATGTCGGCGTCATCCCGATGCTGAAGCCTGGACTAAACACGCCGACTGCAAGCAATCCGCAAGCACGCACACATGCTACGTAGATTTCACGAACTTACGGCACAGATGCCCGTGCGCGATTCTCAGATGACCTGGCCTGCTGCATAGATTCTCCTGCGACATAGGTCGTGCCACCAATGGAATGCCATAGAAGTGGCAAGGATCGATGCCTATGCAGATTGCAATCGTCTGCTATGCAAGCAATGGTCCTGCAAATCCGCGCCTCCGTCGGTTACAAAGCGCAGAAAATGAAACTGCGAGGTGGATAACTGCGCATTGGCTGCCTCCGCCACTACGCAGAGCACGAAGGTTGCAGTGATGTGACGCAGTGACGCAGAACAAGCTGCCGTCTACATCTGGGCCACTCTAAGGCAGGTGCCGGCCAACTGCTTGCAAGTTCATGCGATGCTACCCGCAACAGTCTTTCAGGTCCAGGTGTCGTTACGGAGGGCACCTCGTGCTGGCCAGGCATGAGGAGGAGGATGGGACGACCTGCGTTCTGAGGCGCCGATGGTAGCTGCTTGGCTGATGCTTTCGGTCGACTAGAGCCAAGATGCAACTGCAGGCAACCGAGTTGAAGCAAGGGTCCTGGTTCTCCTCACGGAGCTGCGCAGGTGAAACCTCCTGTTCTTCTGCAAGCTATCAGCATCTGTCAGCATGTCCTGGTATGCCGCATCCACTTTCCATTCTTCCACTGTGTCTGGAAACCTCCCCGGCCTGAAGCGCAAACAAACAACACTAGAACCAGGCAAAGGAAGGAAGGACGGCTTTGCCGAGGTGCAGCTCCAAGTTCGCCATGAGCTTCACCGACAGACCTGCAGTCTGAAGCTTGAAAGAAAAGCGGCAAAGCTCACCAGGGAGCCTCCCTATTCGCCACATGTCCAGGCTTTCCGAGCTTTGGACGGCTCCGAAGATGGCGAAGCCTGCGAGCGACGGTTCATATCCAAGTCTGTCGGATTCTCCTTGAGCCGTTTTGCCAACTTCAGCAGCCTGGCTGCTGAAGACTCTGAGCTGCAGGCACAGCCATCCTCGTAGGAGGCATAGAAACTTCCTGATGAAAACTGCGGAACCAAAGCGGACACCACTTCAAGTGCAGCTGGAGGCAGACGTCTGGACCGGAGCTTCCTGTCATTTTTGTTGGCCTTCTGCGTAGAGTCGCTTCTTCAAGAGATCGTGCTGCACTTTGAGTTGATGGTAGCGGAGCCCGAGTTCATGAAAGCACGACGCCATTAGCGTTTCTTGTGCTTGCAGCGCATGGCTTTCAGCCTGTCCGCGCCAGTGCAGAACCTGTAGTTCTCGCTCACGCAAGTCCAGTCGTGCCTTCAGGTCACGGGCAAGTCTCTCTTGTTCGGAATCCCTCACGGATCCGAGCTGGCTGGCCAGGACCCCACTAGGTCCACTTCCGCTCGATTCAGCCGCATGTGTTTGAGAGATCTTCTGGTCATTGCTTTGAGCCTGTGTCGCCTGTGTCGCCTGTTCCAGCTGACTTTGCAGCATCTGGATTTGAAGCCTCGCCTCGTCCCTCTCACGAGAGACCGTGGCCAAGTCGTCTCGGAGATTTGCCAGCCGGCCATGCAAATGCTCCACGGTGCCAGAGCCTGCCTGCCTGGAGGTTGTAATCTCATCAAGTTGCTTCCGCAGCTCGTCTTTCTCTCGTCTCCAGCCCTGACACTCTTCCATCCGTTTCTTGTACATCTCGAGCTGCGAGTGTAGCTTCTGGCTGTTCTGAGCCTGCACACGTGAGATCTCCGCTTCTTCTCGCAAGCGCTCAACTTCGAGCTCCTTCTGCCGTAGCTCCGCTGTAGCCTTCCAGAGTTCCTGCTCGAGCTTCATCTCCATCGATACGCGCTGCTCCTCGCGGGCCCGCTCGGATGCCTCGTCGGCGAGGCGGAGCTCGGCTTGGGCGAGACGTTCCTTCTCTTGTGCTTCTACACGTTTTGCACGCTCTGCTTCGATTTCAGCATTTAGCCTGCTCTTCTCCTCCTCCCAGCGCTCTTGCTCCTCCTTCAAGGCGATGTAGTGTTCCTTCAACCTGCGAAACCGCGTCTCCGAATCTAGACCAACTTCCAAAAAGTCTGGCAACTCGGCCGACGAGGTGCGAGGCAGCATACCGGAACCGGAACCTCCAGGCGACCCGGTAAAGGAGCCGGATTTGCGAGGAAACCCTGGGATGGCCGAAGACAATGGAGAAGAGTCCAAGTCGAGGCTAAAGCGCTCGGCTATAAGAACGATGGCAGAAGCTGAAGTTGCACTTAGCTCCTGGCATGTCTGAACATAGTATGCATGATTCGGAAGCTCATTGTCTAAAGTTGCCCATATCACAAGCTGCGTTAGCAGAGATGTGACCGTGCCGCCTTCATCAAGCCAGTGCCGGGCCACAGCCTCCGCGCACCCCTGCCGACCCTTGAAATGTTCGACGAGCCCGCGCAGGAGCACTTTCAGCCCAGATCCCGAGTTCTCAGGAAATGCCTCGGGATTCACATCGCGCATGACTCGTAGCAAGATGTTGCCGTTTGCCAGCTCATCCAGGTTTTGCACAAACTCGCCGACGACTGCCAGCGAATTGACCCACTCCAGCAATGCCGCAGCGTCCACCTCCCCCATGGAAAAAGGACGTCATACAACTGTCCAGTCGCGTTACGGGCTATTTTGTGCATGGTCTGAACGCCTGATCTAGCGCCTTACTCGGCTGTATCACGTGACCTATGACCAAAACTTGTGCAAACAAAGGGCTTACGCAGGATCAACCCTCATAGGACTGGGGTGGCAAGTCGTGGCAGAGAAGCCTTTTTGGCGAGCTTGAAAGTTTTGGGAATGTTGACTTCGCTATTGTGCTGGATGGGGCTAAGATGAGAGCACGGAGAACAATTAAATTCTGTTGCTTCGGATCTGAGCCACAGTGGCTCGAATCCGCAAATTACGCCAGACAAGCAGACAGTGCAAGCCAGACGCCGTCATGGCATTGATCTCCATGTCCCTGCCCCGGCAGATGAACTCTGTCCTTTATATCGATGAGCCGACCCTGTCCATCATCGTCGCTCCTTCCATGGGCTTAGTGCACACGTACAAGCGCAAGTCTTTGTCTCGACTGACAATATATCAAGCAATTAGCTCCTGAACGACTCGTCAGCAAGCTTCACCACCTGACAAGTTGAGCTGCAATTCTCGGCAACGGTTTCAAAACGACAATGTCACAAAGACTTGATAAAGCATTTCCGGAACCCACCGTCCCATCAATTCCGGCAGTCTGTAAGCCGCGCAATCGCTCTGAAGCCGCAGAAGAACACCTTAGAAAAGGAAATAAAGAATCCGAACCGATCAGAGTCAGCCGCCAGCCAGGCTAGAGTCAGTGTGAAACTGAGGATCTCTGCACGACCTTCCTTGGCCAGCAGGTCCACACCTCGCGGAGCTTCGCTTCCACACCGCACTGCGCGGCACATCTCTCCATGCACGGTCCGACGGCGTGCTTCGCGGTGCGCTTCGCGCCTCGACAGCGTGGCCTGCCAGTTCCTCTCCGCCTGTGCTTGCAGCAGCGATTGGCTTCCTCTCGACTGACAGCTGCACGCCTCCTAGCGATGACGCGGACTCCAGTGCAAGGCATAGGGCATCCTGCCAAGCGAGAGCAGGCGAGAGGGGCACGCAGCCAATGCAAACTGGCGAATGGATCTGCCTCTTGGCTGGATAGCTCTCCAGATGTAAGGTCACAGTCATTGACCCAAGATGCCTGAAAGCCAAGCCATCACTTGATACTGGCGGCATGGAGACCCATAGTTTCGGGGGTCCAGTTTCGGATCGGCTGCTGGGAGTTTCGGATCAAGAAGCAGCAGTTTCGGGGCCCAGTTTCGGCACAGTGGGGGTCAGTTTCGGGGCGCTGGTCTGTCAGTTTCCGGGGATGGGCCCTGATCCGAAACTCAGCACCGAAACTGACCTCGAAACCCCTGAAACTCACACCTTCCAAGGCGTCATGCCCTCTCGCAGAGGCAGCATCAGGGGCGCCTGCAGGTTGTCCAGAAGAGTGAGCACCTTGGAAACTCAAGATCAAGGATATTGTCAGGCTCCAAATCTTCTTAATTGCGCATTATGCCCCCGAACGAACAAATACTATCTCAGCCTGGCTGACTTGATGTGGACCCCTTTGCTTACAAGTGCTGCAGCTTGAATTCCAAGTTTCGACCTTGCGACTGGCAAGAGTTCAGCGAGTCTCCAATGAGTTTATTGGCAGTGCATGTCCTTCCTGGTATGCCTTCAAAAGTTACCACAGCAGCTGCGCCAAGTGCCCCCATGCACATCAGACACTCATGAAAGGAGTACAGTAGGCGAAGCATGAAGTCGTCCAGATGCCGATCGCGAAATGTGAGCCTATGCTTCTACAATCGACCACATTAACCGGTACTTTTGATGCAGAGGAACACCCAGTGATGAGGATTTTGATGGAAGCAGTGCATACGGGTGCCAACAATCGATCAAGCTGGGTGCTTGGCCAATGCACTGCGGTTCACTTGACACTTGATCGCACGATGTCGCGCGAAGCAGACACAAACAAGTTCTTTGTGGCTCTCTCTTTCTGCTGAACAAGCGGAAGACTTGGCTTCACGCAACATCACGCCCATACGTGCCCCATGGAATTGCGGGCTCCACACCTCATCTTGCACTACGGTGGGCCACTGACACGGACACGTTTTGGTGTTCGAGACGCCGTGCCTCCTCGTCGAACAAAGCTCAGACCGAACTGGATGCTTTTGTCTGGGCCAAACCTCAGCACATTGCAGGATACCTTACGAAAGGCTGACCCGGATGCCATTTCCTGCATTTGCCTGTGCTTTCCCCGACTAGGAGCGTTGCGCGGCAAGATCTCTGGAAGCACACGCCCAGTGGTGAATCACCTGGCTGCGTCCACAGTCAATGCAAGAAACCGATCAGCACCCACACTTTGGCAACCGGAGCGGAAGAGAGGTCACCTTGAGCAGCCCAGCATTAGGTAGTGTGGGGGAAACTCGCTCCTGGTGGTGGGTGTTGAGAAAAGAAAATCAGTTGGAAACCCACCTCGTGCAGAATTCGAGCTGCGAAAGGCAGCCCATCAGTCCTCTCATCTTTACGTTCAGACTACAGACTCTCGCCCTATCCTTTTTGAAAGCCATCCCTTCTAAGGTCAAAGACGCAGTCCTGCAGTCGAAGATGGTGAATAACCCCCCAGCCATACTTCCCTGAAACTCTTTGCAGCTTGAGCCCTTCCAATGGCCATCCGCAAGCTTTTGAGTGCGAGCTTTTAGCCAGCTACGCCGACATACCGCTAGGCACGGCGAGCTGAAGAGCAAATGTCATGAAGCAACGTTCAAGCACGGGAACAATGCATCGTCCTTGCCTCCGGCAGGTTGTGATCTGGGCTGGGCACCAATATCCGGCTTGAAAGACGATGCAGCACATTGAACAAAACAAGCTCACGAGAGCTGCGCGTGTCACTGTAGTGGTTGCATAAATTGGCACGCTTTGTCTGTCAACTTCGAGACCGCTGTGCCTGGAGATATAATAGTGCCTTCATGGCGATATGCGGTAATACAAGAGGCTGAAAACCCGCAGACGTCACGTCAAATGACTACAGGGACCACACGTGACACCCTTCTGAGCAAGCTACACGCGAGAGCCGGGAGCGCTTTGACTCCTGGCATCAAGCCGACAGACTGACACTTCTGACGTCTCGCACCTCGATCTCTGGCACTCTTTGGCAATTTGGGCAACCGCAAGCCGCAAGCAAAGCCATCCCACGGCTGCCGTGCTTTCTTGGAACCTTGTGGTGAAGTCTCCACAAGCCAGTGCTTTTCGATGCTGCCTGTCAATCTTCGCATGACAACACACGGCGCTTTATGGGCTCCTGGGACTTTCCGAGCAGCACCAGTGTCTAGCAAAGCCACACCTCGTCGCCCAAATCCTGGAATTGCCGGGCTTCCTGGCATGCAACTTTTCGACTTCGGGCTATATCAACTGTACTGCCGCTTTCCGTGGACACATGCCGAGCTTCTCGCAGAGTGAAGCCTGAAGCCTAGCATTCACCATGCATCACTGGGTCTCGAGTCCGCTGCGCATCATCAAGCACACAAAGCACACAACACCGCCTGTCTCGCGTTCATCATCAGTCCTGCATGGACAAGCGTGGCACGGGAACTCTCTGCCTGTGCCACAACTTCCTGCGCTTCACCCAGAACTGTGGCTGCCCAGCAATTGCACGCTGCTCTCTGCACCAGTTCTAGTCCTCTGACGTCGAGCGTCTTTGGCTTGGCTTGTCCTAGGATGGCGGCTGACGAATCGTGGGTATCGTAAGGTATGATCAGAAAACCCTACGAGGCCAAGCCGCGCATCCTGAATCACGTCTTTTTGCTCGTTCCTGACATGACAGAACTCCTTCTCAATTCCCAAAGGAATCATCTGACACCCATCCGTGCACCCCAGTCCAAGGTAATACATGAAGCTGTACATTCTGTTCATCACGGCCTCCTTGATCCTGAGCGCCGGGAGTCTGGGCTGAGCTTGCAATTTTCTCCGAAGCAGAGGTGCGGACTTAGATTTCAGCGACTTCTTTGGCTCTTTTTCATCAGAGCGCCTCGAGGATAAAAACAGAAGCACTTTTCAGTTGTGTAACTTCCAACCTGGCCGGTGCATGTTGGTCGATGTGAAGAGACAAAGCTGAGAGCTAGGGTCAGGAGTCCCCTTGCTTAGCTGCCGGCAGACTTGCAGTGGCCGCACGACTGGGTGCCTCCGACGGGCCTCACTTGCGAACCGTCGGGTGCAAGCCGCATGTCTTCACACTTGCAGAGGCGGCTGCCTTTGATGGAGACAGACACTGTGCTCATGGTCAACCCCTGACAACATGCGCTCGAGGGCGTTCTAATTGGACCGGATCCCAGGTGAGCCCTTGACCCTGTTCTTTGGTGCGTAGAGGTATGCGTCGTCAGCTGCCTCCTAGAAGAAGAGCAGCATGATGGATATCTCCACGGCCGCTCGGGATCTTAGGATGATGAGGTCCGAGCGCACAGGCCTCCAACCGACCGCCTGAAAAGTGCAGCACACCTCACACTGCAGCCGACTCCATGCTTGTCACTGGGACGAGCACTCGAGTAGTCGCGGCCGTCGAGCCTTTCAGGCTAGGCACAAGCTCTAAGCCATCGCTGCACTCCGGAAATTCGGGCTTGGCAGCTGGCCCCTGAAAGCCACGGCCGATCAAGCTTGAAAGACGGCTCTCTCACTTCACGCCGATCTGTTACCTGCCGCTTGGTCAAACACAAGCCGAACATGTCAAAACCTCTACCAGTAACGGTGCACCTTGGGAGTGGATGCTGCCCAGGCAGCTGCTTCGTCTGCCTCCTATCGCACGATCTTGGACTGACAGCAAATACTCTGCCCATCTTCTGTGTGCGAGTCTGCCGGCATGCATACATCTATGAATGCTTGGAACCCCACATCTATTTCGTCCAAATCACCCAGCGGCGGCCCTCAGCACGGAATGACACGGCTTCGACTTCGTGTCCTCAAGCTGTGCTGAAGAGTCACTCAGGCAGTAAGATCCCGGCGAACGCCAGTGGTTTTCAGGGCAGGGAAGCGTTCGAGAGTTGGCGCCAAATTCCTGGCTTGGTGAGAATCACACATCGAGAGAAGAGAATTTGCCACCAACCTTCTCCGTGCGACGTCGTTACAAGAGGATCTTGAAGTCAACCAAGCAGCAGGAAATCCGAACTGGGAGGACCTCGGCAAAACTTCCCTCTGGGCACGGATCAAGCCCGAGACCTGGTTCCAGAAGATGCCATGCCATGACCCCCACACGGCAGATGGCAGCGACAGTGGAGGAGCTCTCATCATAGCACCGTACCCCTTCCTGCTCGGCACCACGCACACTCGCCACATGTGCTGCAGGAGGGGATTCCTCCGAAGTCTGCCGAAGGGTTCTCCTTTGAGAAGATCAGTTGCCACCTGGACCTCAAGTTCGTGTTCGAATCTGCGCTTCTGCTGTGTTGCTCCACAAGTCGCAGTCTTAAGGTCACGACAGAGTACCTAGGCATACACATACAAAGGTCCGCCCAGCCCACCTCCCAACCGAAGCGAGCAGCAGGAGCTTGCTGGCAGCGAACATTCCATTACTGTCGTGGGTCTGCAAGGCTCCGAAAGTACAGGTGCAAAATTGCACTTCAGAGGCTTTTGTCAAAAGAACAGGGCGCACGACGAACCCAAGAGCAAGCAACATCCTACAAGCGATGGCAGGCGCACTGTCGCTCCTTATGGCGGCCTCACGACATGCCAAGCAATGTTCATCAAAGGTCGAATGCAAGCGAATATCAGGTCAGAGCAGAACTTCTTCTGCACGTTCATCACCGGGAACCATTCACAAACCTGTCAAGCAGCATAAGATTCAAGTCATCAAACATTCCGGTGCAATCGCATCCACTCGCGCTTTGCTCTCACCCTGCTTTCTTGACTCGCCTTCACTGCTTCTTTGTCATTTTTGTCGCGGGTGCCTGCCGACTTTGCACAGAAGCATGTCCACGCTGCATAGCGATGCAAGAAGCCCTGGAGTCATGCTCCCTGCGTGTGCCTGAATCTTTGGAGTCCTTTGATTGCTGAGATTCCTTGGTCTCAGTTGCTTCCTGCTTCTCTGGTGCTTCGGCCACATCGAGGAAGCTTGAAAGAACCTCGGCCAAGGGCTGTAGCGAGGATGATGACTCTTGGCGGAGCGAATGGAGGTATGAAACATGTTTCGGGGACGGTGCCTGATGATGAGGATGACCATGCCCCAAACCTTGAACCTTCAACACCTGCACTCACTCTGCAAACCCCAACGCCCCACAGCTGCCCGAAATCCTCAAACCTCAGTCTCCAAACCCGAGAACTCTTCAAGCCCGTCGCAGCCTACATCCCCGAGAGCACAGAGCAGCGCAGCCTACCTCTGCCCTACACCACTAAACATACAAGCCAAAGCGATCACTATTAATCGAGCTTCTACAGTAAGGATTTAAACGGGCGTGTAAGCATATGGGACATGTTCCACCCACTTTCTGAGGGTCTTTGTAATTTAACATGTGAGTCATGTGAGTGTTACTTCCTCTGTACTTTGCTCATGGCCAAGACGGCCTGCGACCGGAAAACTCTGATTATCTTGGCCGCCCATAAAAAGCAGCCCTCGAACAGTTTTTTTGCACTGAAGCCCCACACCTTCAAAGTTCGTGGACCTGCGGTGCGTTTTCTCATGTTGCTGACCTCGAAACATCTCGAAAAGTTTAGACATTGAATATTGAAGACGTTTGGCGAAAAGAAAAGAAAATGCTTTCAAAGGCACGGCACGAGACAGACGCATGCTTCGTGACAAATGCGAAAGCCCTCGGTGCTTGCGGCCTTGCTTAACTAGACTTTTCAAACACAAAATTATTGTTTTCCTTCAGCTTTGCCATGCTTCGCCCACTCGAGGCTGCATACATGCTCTGCGAAATGTGTCTGAGCGCACGATCTCTTGCAGGTGCCGTTCCATGTTTGACTGCGCTGGAGAGACCACTGTTCATGACGGCACTTGTCCTTGTTGATTCAGCACTGTTGTGCTTGGCGCATGATTTCACAGTCTGCTTGCTGGCCTCCGTGAAGAGGATGGACTGGTGTTCAGTCAGCAGCTCGTCTGCATGATCGCCTGCATTTGTAACACGAATCATAGCAGGCCCTCGTCATCGAAGTTCATGAGTCAAGCAAAACGGCTGGCCTTCTGAAGTGCTTGGAGCCATACAGTGGCAACGACGAGTGCAGGGCAAGCTGCATGAGGTTATCCCAGACTGGAGCGTGTTCAGAGGATGCAAACAACAAACGGCGAGCAAGGTTGCTGGTCGGCTGAATGTTCGGCAAGACGTTGTGGACAGTTGAGATATGTTGGGATACATGGCTCGTGATAGACGCTGTTCAAGAACCACGCTGCGAGCAGAGATCAACCGATTATGCAGTCGCACGTCACAGCTGGCATGGAATGCCTTGCCTGCATGTGGCGACAAGCAAGCAAATCCACCTTATGCACATCGACGAAAGCACCATCTCGTACAAGTAGCAATGAAAGCCAAGTCTGTATGCAAGCACTCTGGCTCGAGAGTTGACATGGCACGAGACTTTAATCTCCAAAAGGCAACGCATGCCAGATTGCATGTCCGTGCAGGCATCTCACGATGCCAATACAACGTGCCTGATGATGGGTCTTCTGCACTGTACATGGGCATCGCGAACCGCACTGCTCCCTTGTGGATAACCATACGAAGACGCCCAATTGTCGAATTAACTTGACACGAAGTTTTGAAAACCTAGCACAAGTCTCATGTAACATTCAAACCTTTGCGGGGCCACTTTGCATCTGAGCAGAGCTCATCGTTCGACCCGGCAGGACGAAGTATGGATCCGGCCTTCGAACGCATGAAACGGATGCACCAAGCCATGACACGCTAAAGCTGCATCGACGAGACATGTGACTCTGTGACTCTTGACGGGAGCGTGTTGGCAAACGTCGCTTGAAACGTTAAAGAAACACGCTCGGGCTTGGTCCGGTCACAAGGTTGAAATTCCGATTTCAGACGATGTTCAGGAAGGCCGAACGCACATCAAGAAACAGGTCTGGTTTCCCACCATGCTGACGCTTCGGTTTGCAAATTCCGGACGAGTGCCTGATATGTGCGAGCTGCAGATTTCCCTTTCCAGTGGATTGAAGCCAGATACTGATGACGAATGTCACCAGCGATGCAAAGCCCGCACATGACATCAGCCACCCAGGTCCTTCACAATGGACAAGCAGGTCCAAACACAGGTTTGAGTGGAGACTTGGTAGCATAGCACACAACTCAGGACGCTGGCCCCAAAGTAAACAATGCTGCACAAGCGCTGGCATGTGCGATGCCGCACCCGACCCTCAATACCAAATATGATTAAATACCTCTTTCGCATCCGGTCCCCACGGAGTCCAAGAAAGCGATGCCTGTCAACAGACATGAGATGCAGGCAGTTGGCGAAGTGAAAGCGGGCATCCCAGACCCAGCCTGGAAAAGGGTCGGAGCAAAGCCTCCATGCAGTTTGCTGAAGTCTTGGCAGTGTGCAACAACACTTGACATGTCGAACCACGTCGTTTCAGGAAACCGACTGCTCACAGGGCCCTGAGGAACCTCCAAAGACGCAGAAGCCAATGTTGTAACCTTGGCTGCACTGACGAGGCCTTGAAGCCTCGCCATGTCTTTTACACCCCATCCAAACGTCAGAAGCTGTGTTGTTTAAAATGAGTGCTTTAGGCTGAAGCGCTCAAGCCCACGCCAGCATTCCGCACCTCAACCGGGAAAAGCTCCACGACCAGCAGGAAGAAGATCATTCCCGCCAAAGCAAAGATCGTTCCGTATCCTACTCCATAAGCTGCCATCACCACCCCGAAGCTCTCGGGCATCCACTTTTGCACGAGGAAGAGCGGTAATCCACCCAAGGTCAGAGCAAATGCACCAGCAAGCTGGATCCAACCGACTCCAACTGTGTCAGCAAGCCACCCCACCAAGGGCGCAAGAACTACAGCCAGTAAGCGTGCTGTAATTCCGGCTGCTATTAAGCTGTCAGGCGTCGCACCATGCTTCTTCAAAAAAACATTGCCCCAAAGGAACCCACCGTACTGCAAAACGGATACTCCAGCCACACTGCCGATTCCAATTAGCAGCGACGGCCAGTGTGACTTCACAAGGTGCTTGATGCGGGCGACCGCCTGGCGCGCTGCGCCTGGAGTTCGAAAGCTAGCCATCCAAAACCTCCTGGCTATTTTTTCGACGCTCCGGCCTTGCGATTGCGAGCCTGCCGAGTCGCCCGAGGTGGCATCAGCAGTCTCGGAACCGCCATCGGACACGTCCGATGTTGCTTCTGTCTGAGTCTTGGCATCGAGGAAGACCTGCGATTCTGGAATGCAGCGTCTCCCAGCAGTTGCCTCACACAAGAAAAATGGAAAGGGCTGTGTGGATGCACTGCCGTGGGTTTCGTGAAACTCCATTGCGGCCGTTGATCCATCCCAGACTGACCTTCTTCGTGGAGTAAACTATCGCGGTACCCTCACGTTGGCATGTTCTTTACAAGGTAAGGACCCCAAACTATGAACGAACTCTTCAGTCGCTGTCTCAAAAGGCTTGAATGTCCAAAAACAGTTGTGAAACAAGCTGGCCTCGCACCGTCACACTCCCTAAGTGGAATGATAAAGATTGACGAAAAGCAAGAAACAGATGCTGTGGGCTGTCTGATGAAATGCAGTCTAGTGGACAATGACACCTGGGATCACAGCAATGACGAAGGGGATCCGCCAAGCCCAGCTTTCCATAGCAGACGCGCCGACGGCCTCGCGTGTCAGATAGCTGGCACACTGAGCGAGCAAAAAGCCGATGTTGGCTGTGCTGCCGATCAATGCCATCGACCTTGCCAGCGATCTTTTGGGACCGACTTCGGTGATGTAGGTGGAGACAGCTGCAATTTCCCCTCCGGTGCAAATGCCTTGTAGAAGTCGCAGCGCCACCAGCAGAACCAGGCCGATGGTCCCTGCGACTTTGCCACTCTGGTAGCTGGGCACTAATCCTTCAAGGACACATACAGCCAAACGAATTCTTGGGCTCTCTGCATGCTCCCCTGTTCAAACTGTCTCAACGCAGAAAGTCCCCCGTCCTTGGCCGACTGTGCCAATGACCATTCCACAAATGGAGAGGAACGTTGAGACCTTCCGACCGAAGATGTCGCCGAGAAGACCAAGAACGATTCCACCAAATGGACGAGCTGCAAATGTACAAGCAAATCCGAGCCAAGTTGAAATCGCTGAGCCGTTGAAAAATTGAGTTTCCAAGTACGGCTCCAAGAAGCTGTAGATGGCAAACTCATACCATTCCAGAATGTTTCCTAACAGCAGCGCCCAGTAGACCTTAACAACTTGCCCAACATCTGCGGCGCTGCCCATGGCGACGTCTAGGGTAATTCAAACCTACACGGATGTTCCTGACAAGCCACGAGATGTCAACCTGTGGCTTTCCCGCTGCACTTTCACACAACAAGAACTGAAGAGCATTTGTTTCACCAGCAAACTGGCTGTACAGACATCCAGCGCAGGTCAATCTAAAGGTGCCACTGGGAGACCTGCTCCTCAGTCACGCACAGGCTGTGTCACGCGCTGCAGCTCGGGGACTTTGAACAAGGACCGGGTATCAAGGAGCAGACCAGGTTGCACATCTTCAAGCACATCGACGCCATAAGTCGCGATGCCTCGTCATACAAACCACGCGGGTCAAGACATAGCTGCAGAGCACTGCTCCGTTCGAGCCTGCACTTCTGCATTCCGCCAAGACTTCCGACCCAAACGATGATTCCTGGATGCGGCGACAAGCGATGCCGGGCACTTCTGGCAGAGTGCCTGTAGTAGATGCCGCTCAGCAATCTCATCGCCAAGTTTCGTCGGGGTGTAGTGCCAGGCCACGCACACCCAGCCTGTGGACTCGGGGCACCGTACGACTCCCGCGGATCCTTGAAAACTCCCTCAAGACCCGAGGGCTCGGCCTAACGACATCGTTCAAAGCGGCAAGAACGGCACTCGAATCCTCCAACCAAGCACTGAGCACAACATGCACGGCCGCATGCTGTGAAGACCCACAGTCCTTGGGGTCAATGAATGCCAGCACCTTCAGTCAGCTGCAGTCTGCATCTTCAAAACGGCAAATGCCGCACACGCCTCGGTCTTCGGCAAGTTGGGGTCCATGTTGAGTTCGGCCTCATTCTGTGAAAAGGCAGACCAGCAATACTGCAAGCACACGCAAGCTGGAGCTCCGACGGTTGAAGAAAAGTGTGCACCTTCTCCACCTCCAACATTGAATACGGTCTTTCCGCAGTCCTGCCGGGCTGCTGGGCCGCGCTGGGCTCTGTCTCTCCCGCAACAAAACAGTCCATCAAGTGATCGATGATGTCTTCTGCATCAGGACAATCACCGATGACCTTGGCCAGAGCACTCTGACGCAGGAAGGGAGGCTGCTCTCTCTCCGCGTGAGCCGGGCCCATGGCTGCCCAAACCCGCATCCCCAACAGACCTGCCTTTGAGAGATGCAGCCTGACGAGCGAGACGCAAGTGTGCAACAAGGCTCAAGACAGAAAGGCTCAGCCTCTTGACCGGCACTGTTGCAGGCACTTCTGCTTCGGCCATTGAGGTGGACGCCTTGTGAATGCACGGAAATGCCCATGATGAGCTGACCGCACCACTTCTCACCGCCCCCCTGCAGCTCTGCCTGAGTCACATCTGACGTGCTTTCGGCTGCGAAAATACGTGACATCAAGTCATCGGCACCTGTGGCAGAACAGCGGGAGTGCTCCAGCCGTTGGATGTCTCAGAGTGATCGGCCTTCCTCGTCTGCGGCTCCGACCTCCAGATATCTCCAGATCACATGCTTGCAGACCGGGTCACCTTGCAGCCTAGGTGTACGCCTTAGGCAAGAATGCGGAGAGGTCCTCGTCCTGCCGCAGGTATCGGGCACAAATAGAAAACAAGCAATCAGTGCTTGCAATGCGTGTCACCCGCGAAGTCACTAATTAGCTGCGACTTATGCGCACTGCACCTTTGGCTTGCTGTGCACGGCTGGCCTCTTTCGGTGCTGGCTCCCTGTTCGCAGCTGGCATCGTTTCCTTCCTCCCATGAACACTCAGAAACAAACTCGCACGCCCACACACGCACACAAACCCACGCACACACACACACACACACACGAATACATGCATACATACGTACATACATACATACAGAGAGACAGAGAGAGAGAGAGAGAGAGGGAGAGAGACAGCTTGGCTAGCCCCACCTTGGTTGAGTGGTAGGAGCTCCGTTGTGCTTTGCTCTGCCATTTGCTGCGCCATTCGAGGCGCCATTCGCAGCACCGCTTGTGACACCGTGCCCGGCACCATTCGCGGCACCATTGGCCGCACCATTGGCCGCAGGAACCTGACTTCGGACGGGTTTCCCTATACTAGGGGACTTCAACAAATCAGTGGAAGGCCTGGGTAGGCTTGCGTGCAGGTGGTGCATATGCAGGCTTGCCAGACGCCGGCAGGGGCGAAGAACCACTTGAAACTGGTGCCGCCGTCACCTTGCGACGATTGACAGCCGTGCCGAAGACAGTTCTGCCTTCGAGGTGCTGGGTCGTTGAATAAGCCGCCGGCTGGCTTGGCACCAGGTGTTCCTGACACCTTGCCAACACTGCCGCACTCTTCGTACGAAATCTGGCGAGTGCTTTCATGGCCAACCTTTTCCAGGTTCTCTGATTTCAGGGCCATGTTCAACGCAACGCCAGGTTTATCCTCGGAAATGACTCTGCATACCATCTTGAAAGTCTTGAAGATTTTTGAAGCAGGTCGCTGAAGCACTTCTGCTCTAGCCTCGCAGCTGGATGAAGAGTGAAATCAATGATGGATTTCACGCCACGCGACTGGCACGAAAATGCGGTAACGTTCGTTTTCGCGGAGGAACTCATCAACAAAACCATATCGACCTGGGTGCACGAACGGCAACCGTCTGTCGCTAAGGTCACCAGAGCGAATCTAAGCCACCATCCGTTCAGCTCGGGCTTTGACTGTAGCCTGAAACACCGAGCGGCATTTGAGCGGCATTGACGGAGATTTCTGAGGCCAGCCCACCCTTTCAGCTGCACGAGGGAACCACGAAGCTTGGGCTTCAAAACGCTGAAGTTTTGATCCCTGGCAAGAAGCACTCTTGCGCTCGATCATCCGACAGACTTTTCCGGTGCAGCATTCCGACCTCAGCGCTACATCCGTCTCCACGCCAGCCATGATAAGGCGCACAATGTATCGATCTTGATCCTTCTCATAACCGATGCAAACTCCACACCTTAGCTGTCGTCCATCACACAAGGATCACTCCGAGTCGTATGCCACTTCGGCCTGCTGTTGAGCTCTGCTTTCTTCTCCAAGTTCTTGATTCTCACCGTCTGGCCCAGTACGGTTTCGCCTCGGATCGCTTCAACATCTGTCATCTGTACATTGCGACAGGCGAGACAGCTCAAGAGCCAGACTTGCATTCTTGACTCTCTCACTGTTTGCACCCTTGCTTCTGTTCCAGGTGACCTGTTGCCAGATGTTCACAAGGGTGTACAGTCGAACCAAAGCGTTGCCACTGCCTCTTTGAAGAAATCATTGATCAGTGGCTCCAGCGTTTCGTGCGGTTTGGCTGGGTTGAACCTTGCAAAGCAGCAACATAAATCACGAGTGAATCACTGTTGCGAGGAATGTACTGACTGTCTGCGATTGATTATGCCCAAGCTTGTCATTCTCATGCACAGAAGCGCAGGGTGTTATCCCTTTGCCCTCCGCCTCGGCAGCTGACGTCGTGACAGCGTGGGCAAGCGCGGCCCCCTTTTGACGCTCCCCTTTAAGCCTCTATTTTCCAAATCTTCCTCTGCTGTGTCCCCGGGTTGACCCTAATTAAGGCCTCTTTTCCCAGACACCTCTTTCCTCTTTTTCCAGCCTTTTTGGTTTCCTTCCCCCCGTGGTCACGCCTCTTGACGCCTGTTTTTTCTGAAATCCTAGTTCGATCTATCTCGGGAGCACGTGTCCTGGCTTACACCCCTACACGCTTCTCGTTCCAGATGCTTCGGTACTTTGGGGGATGGGCGGGGGGTGCAGGAAGGGAAAGTACGCTTGGCGGGCGGAAAAGGTGCTTCAATAAGACGCTTGGAGGGTGGGGCTCAACTTTACGGCCAGGCTTTCCCCGATGGGTAATGTTACTAGCTCAATAGCAGCTCTCGTTTGTCTGCAAAGGACAAGTCCGTGTGTATCCCAAGCTGCCAGAGCGCAGTTACAGACATTTTGTTGCAGTCCCGCGACCAACCCAGGTGCTTTCGGATGTGGTTCGCAAAAAGTTGAAGCTCTGAAGCTTCTGAAGACTCGAGCTTGAAAGCTTCACTGATGATCCGAAGCTCCTGTCGAGCTTCGGAGCTTCGGAAGAATATTCCTGGATCACCCCTGCCGTGCAATCTGTCTTTGGGCCCCCTGTTACAGTCGACCTGCAACAGCCTACAAACGCTGCGGCATCAGCGCAACAGAAGGCAGCTTTACGAAGTTGAGCCGTGAAGGCTAAGTATCGGCAGCTCTGACGGTGCGCGAACAGCATGGATGCCTTGATTTTCGGATGCATTAGTCTAAAATAGCAAGCAGTACATCCGATGACGACGACAAAAATTAAAGGCCCCACGGACAGAAATGATATCCGCCTGCGGTTTGCCGAAATTGGGCTCAAGTCTTGCTGGGTCGCGTGCATTCGAACCTGGACGCTCTGAGATTGAAAAGAGGATTGAAGCCTTGCAAACTGGAATGTCGATCAAAACAGAAAGAACAGAAGCGCAAAGCTGGCAGGGACATGGCCTTCGGACCGCCTTTTCGTCCATGCCCTCTTCGCTTTGTGTGCACAGGACGAAGAAAGGAATTCCATGCAAAGCCATCCTGCATGGCAAGGACGCGACACGAAAGGAGAACTCACCTACACGTGCTCGGCTCCAGGCGCAACACAAAGCCTCACTCGGAGACACTTGGATGATTTGCTGGGTGTTTTAGAACTTGGAAACCAACTTGCAGTAAATGTCCGTCAGGACATACTTCTCGGAGAACAGCATGAAGACCTGGATGGACAACAAACCTACATGTACCACATCAGCAAGCTTCAAGAATGCTGCATCGCACGGCAACACTTGGACACCGGCGCAATCAATGTACAGAAGACCTAGCTCGCGGACGTAATCCTGCGAAGCGTCTTGACAGAGATTATACCACGGCAGAGGGCACCACTGCCCATCCATGAATGCGCCTACGATCAAGACGACACGAGAAGAGGATCGAAGGCTCCAGAAGACGTTGCCCCCCCGTTCTCCATTCTCCCATTTTCATTCATCATCCTTGCCCACAAGCCTGCAATGCCTTGACTCCTCTGGCGGCAAGAGCCTTCTCTGAGTGTGAAGCTATCAAACCAGGGCACGAACGGGCAGCCGTTTTAGCACCAGGCCACTGTTTAAGAACCGGTTTCGCCCCTTGTGGGCTCGTTCAGCTTTCTGACCCTTGTGCCAAAAGCTGCCGTGACATGTCGTCTTGATGCTCGTCGTGAATTGTTTTAAATTTAAAACAATTCACGACGAGCATCAAGACGACATGTTTTAAATTTAAATTTAAAACAATTCACGACGAGCATCAAGACGACATGTTTTAAATTTAAAACAATTCACGACGAGCATCAAGATAATATGCTGCAGGTTTTCCTGTGACCTGGACACAGGTCAAGTGTTCATGACGACTTGCTACTTCGACTGGCATTCGTCGTCGCAGTCCCGCCAAGCAGTTCGTGGTCTGAGCGGGCTTACACGTTGGGCTAGACATGACAGCCTCTGCATACTTTCTGACAAGCATTCGCAAAACGAAACTCTATGTTTTTCGCTGTCTCAGTGGCTCCTCTCGTCTGCAGTGTCTATCCCAATTCATGCTTTTCCGAGTCCTCGCGAGATGCTCGCGATTGCTTGACCCAGATCGTAGGGTAGTCCCAGTGCAGGTCGTGCACAGACTGTGTTCGCGATATTTCGTGATTCGCCCCGTACCTTCGTGCTCTTTGCTTCGCCTCACGCCTCGTGAGGTTGGCCTCTGCTTGGGTCTCTTGGCCCCGTCCATGACACAGCGATGCCACAAGGCATCGCAAGCAAGGCACATCACACCTCGGCAGCCACGACCCTGTCCTCAGCCTTCTGCTTGAACATGATCTCTGGCAGGTCCCAAAGCACCACCCTTGTTGCAAGATTGCTCCGGCACTTCCCTGCTGACATCGTCTGGATGCACACAAATCTGACGAAGCCTGTTCAAGTCACTGTCCAGAAAATGGTATGGAACCGCCTTTCACAGTTCGAAACAGAAGGCAACCGAGTGGCCTAGTGTGCAGGACATCTCCTGTGGGTTTTGCTTGCAGGCTCGTGCCTCTCGACCAGGGGCCAGCTTGGTTGCAGTGCCCTTGAAGATGTGCGCTATCCGCGGCATGAAATCCTGCACGCCACAAGCGTGCAAGTTGCAGCTGGCGAAGATGAGCGGGAGCGGAATGTCATGGAAAAAAGTAAACCCTGTACCAGCAACACGGGCTGAAACTTCGACCACATGTGCAAGTCCAGGAATTGCTTCTTGCACGTCGAGCTGGGGCCAATCATGGCCAGGTGCATCCTGCACAGAACGTTCCGACGGCAACTCTAGACTCTAGACTCTAGCTTTCATTCTCACGATGCTCAAGCTCGGAGCTGTGCTTGTACGCTTCCCAGCAGAAGTTTGGCCGAGGGTACCTCAGCTCACAACATAGCGGCGCTGCGCCGAGAGCATGCCGAGCACCACCAGCCCAAACTAGGCGGCTTGAAGCACTCAGCCAGAAACTGCTTGGTTTTCTGGTCACATCCGTAGTCGTTCTGGGGAGCGTGAACAGGAAGTACCTGAACTTGAACAGTCTTGAGTAACCGTGGTAGTTTGATGAAACCCAGCTGTCTGAGAAACTCGCAACCTCCAGGTAGGTGTTCTGCAGATAGTTCCTGGCGATGCCAAGTCCCATATGTCACGGCGGGACCACTTGAAGGGCTGCTAGTAAAGCAGCTGGAAAATCCGAATAGTTATGGAGTGTCGGACACAGTTCAGCACAGTACAAAAGCAAAATGAGATCACGAAGTATCTGCTTTCACCCTGGCACCCAAGTCCATCTGGCATCTCCTGTAGAACGCTTGCGAGTCACGAGCTCGCAGCAAGTAGCAATTCTACCAAGGCCGGCAAAGCAATCAGCACAGGTGCCCAGCAGTGATTTCACTCACGGACGCACCTTACGCTTGCCCAGCAACGGCACAACAAGCCAAGGAGACACAAGCCCAGGATGATGAAAGTCTCCAGCAAGAGGCGGGTCCTGCCGGGGGGCTGCGGTTTAATCCGTGTCGGTGGCCGCTCGGCCGCTCGCTGCCTTCCATCCCATCTGTTCCAGGAGCTCTGCCTCGAAAAGTGACAGGGCAGAACGAGAAGGAGAAGCCAGGACACGGGTCGGATGGGCCCCATGCACATACTGAACCAGAGCTCCCCATGGAGGTCAGTGACCTGAACCAAGCCGCAAATGCAAAGTGACAGCTCCTTCATTCCAATCTCCCTCCCCCCCCTCCCCTGCATTCTGCAATCAGCGCGGGCTTTCAACGCAGGAAGCTGTACTTCAAGCACAAAGGCCACACTCTTACGCAGAAAAACGCTCTCAGGCCTCTGTGCCACTTCAAAGACATGTGCGTGGCTGCACGAAACGCTCAAGCAGCGCAAAACAAGAGATCTAGGTTCTATCTGCCAACACGAGTCAACGCCTGTTCAAAGCCATGTCATGACGCGAACCGGTGCGAGTACTATGCAATTACATGATTGCATCTGCCAGCGCTTCTTTCATGCAGATGGTCCGGGATGCCTAAGTTCTGCATCCTTGGGGTCGATACTATAAAGCCTAGGGCCTAGGCTAGCAGCAGAAATGAAGATGTGGACTGTTGATGACGGCCAGGCATGCGGCTCCACGGCTGCAACAAAACGGGTCAAGCAAACTTTTTGGTGCGAGGATGATCCGTCCGAGTCGAAAAGCAAACTACTCCCGAAAGATCGACATTACTTTTGACTTGTGGCACTGTTCCACTAGCATGATACACACTGACAGCATGTCGGAATCTGCGCTCAGGCGGGCCATGAGAAATGGAGACCTGCGCGCCGGCTAAATACCAATCGCTCTCATTAGAAGTCTGCGGCCGCCTCAGTCTTCTGGGTAGTACCAATGCCTGCGTGCACCCGGAGGTAGAGGCGCTTCCTGACAGCAAAGGAAGATGGTTGAATGGTAAACCCAAGTGAAAACATTGAGCTCGCCGCATCTACTTTCCAACCCTTGTACTTGTCAGTGCCGTATGCCTGCGCTGAGACAAACGAAGGAGGAACACCGAAGGTGATGCCTAAGTAGCTTGCCGTGCAATTATTCTGACCATGCGCCTTCATCCATCGCGACCGTGGGCCCCAGAACCCACCCGCCAGGCTCACACCGTCGCGCAGTCGGATCCACCTCATCGCCGCACGCATCGCAGCGATGCAGCATGGGGATTGTGTGCCCCACAAGAAGTCTCTTGCCTTTACTATCTTTACTCTTGGACAGCTGCATGCTCTCAACAGTGCCAGGAAGGTGTTATAGCTGCCGAGAAGCTTCTTCTCGTCGGTGTAGACAAGTTTCACTTCCGATGCCTATGTCATTAGACAGGAAGGGAATTGGTGAAGCTGAGTAAGACGCAGGATGCTAAAGCCTTGCCGATGGCACCGCCATCCTTCTCCTTCCTGGCTTTCTTGGCAGCTGTGTTGTCGCTGAAGTGGACATAGGCATGCCTAGGCTTGGTGGCTCGGGATGGCATGTCTCGACATGCAGTCCCGATTCAAGGTGGACCTGCGCGTCCTCTTGCCGCCCCGCCCAGTGGAATGCCAAGTCGCTTCACTTCTTCGTGGGGCATCTGATGGCCAACAATTACTGCCTGCACGGAGGTCGATTTGGGAGAAGATGATGAATGGCGATTGATGGCTCGAGTCGTGACACTCGCATTGGAGCCCGCGTTCTATGAAGAGCGCAGCCTCTGGCTTGTACTCATCTGTTGTGAAATACTCGAACACCTCTTCTTCTGACACGACATCGTCCTGATGCCAAGCCATGTGAAGATCGAAATACAAAGCTTTCATCAGGGCCGATGTCCTCGCCGTCCGGGAAGGTCAGTTTCAAAGTGTGCGACCAATCTTCGAGGGTTGCTTCCTTCAGGGCCATGACTTGACAGTTAAAACTTGCCTTGTTCCAACTGAGCCCGACACTGGCACAAAGAAAAGGCGGGTGGCATACTCAGGATGGTGAATGGCCCACCTTTGGGCGCAGCATGCAGCACCATGGTGGAGTACTACATAGGGAGTCTGTTTCGCTGAGGCAAGATCTTTTTGTAGCGTTCCTCCTGTGTTTTTGGGTGCATCCTGCTGGCATACAACATGTCGATAGGTAAATACATGAGGCACTGCTTGCAGCATGGACAAAAAAAGAGCAGTCTGTGAGGCAGGCTTTTTGGGCTTGTTTCGCCGATTCTGCTTGCGGTTGCCACCCTGCATGGCCTTGCGAGCGTGCTTTTCGTGCTCCCTCCCCTCCCCTGCCACGTATCGCAAAAGCCCAGAAAGGCTGGTACCACTGTGGAGATCTCTCGCCCCTCCAGGCCCCGCCTGTCACCAGGTTCTCTCACACTCTCTTGACAATTGCAGCAAGGACAAAACCTGCCTATCAAGGGATGGAGTCTCAGGGGTCACGAAGGCTGCTTCCTGCTGCAAGGTGAGAGATGAGACGCACTGAAAGCAAATGAAAGCTACGAAAATCCCTGAAGCCTCCACAGATGTCCAGCTGAACCAAGCCACAGCTGCGGCCTGGCTCACTTGAAGCAAACCACTAGGTCACCAGGTGCTACATACAAGACCCCGGTGGAGGGAAATCATGAGGAGGAGGCCAGGAAGGACAGCTGCAGTGCCACCTTCGGCCTGTGGAACAAGACCCGGTCCCATCTTGGGCTTGCGAAGGCTCGGAAGGCCACCTATGCCGGCGCGGTTCCAAGACCGCCATGGCTTTGTTCACGGGGTGAACAAAACCCACTACTCGTAAGAGTAGGCTGCAGCCAGTGTCAAAGGACAGGCTTCTCATCTTTAGCCATGCCGCAACTCTTCAAGAACTCGACAAACAGAATGGCTCGAAGTTCAAGTCTCCACGAGAGCTGGGCAGCTGTCGGAGCTCGATCTGCATACGCAGACTTTAAAAATTCAGCGGCCTGAAACGGGAATTCTGGGCCGTGTCAAGACCAAGGCATTTAAGGCCTTGGCATCGAGAGTCGACTGTCTTCAAAGTGCCGAGCATCGATGTAAAGCCAGATGTCCTAGCCTTGAGATGCCCCTCCCGGAAAGTACAGAAAGCAAACTTGCTGGATGCTTAAGACTATGTCCTCCGGAAAGGAGCCTAGCATTGAGTCTTTACTTCCACCTCGTGCTGAGTTCTCTCGCCACCTCGAAGAGAGACTGCCTCTCACATGGCTACTTCGGGAGAACTTCGACGGTTTGCGCAACCACCTGAGTTCTCCTGATCTGGAAGGAGGAGTGCTGACCCTCCAAAATGCACAAAGCAATTTCAAATGCAATTGGTGATGAGAATTGTGGAGTTTGCGCCGCCATTGGAAGTCTGATGAACAAACCGAGTTCTCGGTATGACTAGCTCGGCTTTGCTGAAATTTGGCTTTTCATGGCGCACCCCGTAAGCTAAAGCGTTTTGGGCTACAAAGCCTCAATGGTTTATTGGCCTCAGTCTTTGGACTCATCTCAGAAGACATAGCAAGTCAACACGTCGTAAGCTCGGGACACCGTAGGAATTAACTTGTCAGCCGCACTCTGCGGATTTAGAGATCTCTTGCCTCGTGCATCGCCTGGACACTCTCACCCTGACCTTGCCACACCCAGACTGAAATTCAATTCACACACCAGCCTCTTTGAGAGTTGCGATGTGGCTGTCGCTGAAGGATCTCTTCATTGAATGTTGCATTCCAGTGTCTTCCTCGTCATCGGTATCAACCTGACAGCTCAGCGTGCGCATCTCTGCGACGAAATCCATGCTGAACCAAAGTCATCCTGGCAGTACCGCAACATTGTAAATATAGACTGCTGAATCTTGGCCCACCCGTCACCGCAGCCGATGCCAATCGTGCCATCACACGACAAGTTACATCTTATCCTGTTTGGTTTCTGCCTTTGGGGCCCGGCAGCTTACTTTACAGGTTGGGAGGAGGAAGGGGTGGGGGGGTACGGCTGGGGGTGGTGGTGGGGGTGGTGGTGGGGGTGGGGGTGGTGGGGAAGTGGGTGGGCAGGTGGGTGTGGTGGGTGGGGGGCGGGTGGGGGGTGGGGGGGGTTGAAACACTGAATGTTACACACCCGTCACTTGCATGTATCCATGCTTGCTGCTCAAGGTTCTAGCAGAGTATCGACTACAGCTGTGAGCCTGTAGAAAAGAGACACCTGCGTTGCTTGTAGGCGAAGCAAAAACGCCGCGAAATGCAGGGTTCTCATGATGTACTGAAGTAGTTCTCCGCACTCGCACGGCACGCGACAAAACCCAGAGTTTTCGCATGTTTTCTTTCAGGCATCAACAAGAAACACAAAACTTTGAACCCAAACACAACCAAAAAAACACGATTATCGGGATTGTGTGGCTTTTGTCGAAGAATACGGGATTCTACAAATACCGATGAATTCGGTGCCCTCTTGCGATTACACCATGAAACCCAGGAGTTTCGTGATGTTTTCCAGTCTTTCTCCGCACTCCCATAAGACCAAACCTTGAGTTTTTGCATGTTTTGATTGTTCGCATGCTTTCTCATATCTTCGCGCGCGCACTTCCTAGCTACAAGTACACGCGGAACACAACATGTTCCGAATAGCCTAGCTCTGGTAAGTAAGTGAAAAATCACTGGTGTATGCGGCACTTTCAAGCTCTTGCAACAACTCCTTCTGTTATACTGCCCCATGGTCTCCGGGAAAGCCTCAGGACTTGCCTCCTTCTTCGCTTGCCTTTACGACATTGGCTGTTGAGGTAGGGACCCATTCCCCTTCTGTCATGAACAGTAGCACGACAAGCGTCAGATGATCGTAGCGTATAACAGGTTGGAATTCAGCGTAGGACATTAGCCCTGTCGAGGTGCAAGGGTCGACCCATCTGCGACGGGAAACGGCGTACTGAACCCAGCAGTTCAACTAGACTGCTGTTAAACTGTACAAGAACTCATGCAAGCTGAGAGGCTGAGTGACAACCCTCTGACAGGCGCAAAGACTGGGAAAGTGAGGCCCCTACCTGCATGACTTCCAAGAAGCCATTTCGAACACGCAGTGCGAAATCGTTGACGTTCCCTTCGTCACTGGATGTTCGTGTTTTACCTGCCGCGCTGCAGCCGTCTCAGAATCTCCAAGCACTACAGCACCATTTTGAACCGCACCTTCTCTGGGGAGTGTTTCGAAGAGTGCGGCGTCACCTGCAGAACACCATGACTGCACCTCTGGCCGGCCAAGGCTACTCTGGCTGCAGAGCCTTTATCGCGGCTCTTGCTAGAAGTGCTCCAGGGTGGCTGAATCTCCTGGATGCATCAGGGCTTTGTCCCTCCGCTTTATCCGCTCGCTCTGTGAACTTCCATGATAGCTCCAGAGCTGGGAGATCTGCCTAGGTCCTAGCTGCTCTAATGCGTATTCCCGTTTGTGCCACGTGCTGTGCTTGGTTCAATTCTTTGCACGCCAGCGTGATATCTTCTTCCTTTGTCTACTGATACTGTAAATTATGAAATCCGACTGTTGCAGCAGAGCACTAATCTGCGCTGTTCTTACTCACGTGCGACAAGTGGGCATCTCAGGCCATCAAGAGTCATCATCATCGAGTCAATCGTTTTGCTTGCAGTGCCAATTTTGTGTTGTATTGCTCGTCTGCGGGTGTGCGAACACGCTCATTCTTGCAAGCCGTGCTCGGCGACGCACTCTTCCAAATGGTGCGATCAAACACCCGTGGAAGTGACAAAGTACCACACATCGTGCGCGACTGTATGACTTGTAGCAACCGTACGATCTTGAAGAAACGACAGGTCAGCCCGAATCAGCCTCGCCGAGAGGATCCCAGCTCCAGTTGGAAGCCTTGAGAACTGGCTTCGACGAGCGTGAAGCTACCGTCAGTCTCAAGGTTCCGAACATCTCTTAAACGACCGACCCGCAAGCCTCTTCCACTGGCCACGTGCCACAGGGCATCCGCGTCCACACAGACCGCAGCTCTGCAGAGCCGTGCGCAAATTTGCAGTGGGCATCCGCGCATCTCCTTCATCTTAATACAGTCCGTTCCACTGCTTGCTGCTGCAGGTTTGCTTCGGGTCCTCTGGAAATAGTTGTAGCACATCTTGGTCTTTGCCAAGTCTGGCATTGGCTGCAACTCTCCTCTGGAGTGCGCAAAGGGACAGTCTGTACCTGCCCATCAAGTGACGAAAGAACAGAGCTCCGTGAATCAGCAACCTGCATCTGCGGAAAAGGATTTCCGAATGCTGCGGCCCGCACCCATTTCACACATCTTCTTCTTGTTGTAAGCACACATCTTCGTTTTCCGGAATTGATACTTCAGCGGATGCGGCGACAGCATGTGGTTCACCGCATTCACGGCCCACTGAGTCGGTCTTGCCTTGGTTCAGCATGCGTAAAGACGCATTGTTCTCTGCTGTGCCCGAAGCTTCTCCTGTCCGCTCGTCCAAACCCCAAGCTGCCAAACCATGCCGAGACACATCAGGGAGAATCACCGGCTGGCTGGTGTTGTTGCGATTGTCTTCGCGAGCCCAATGTGCTTTGAGAGCCTGACAAACGAACAGGCTTCATCGGCAGCTGAATTACAAGTTTCCTCTCGTGGCGAAGCCTGAAGCCCATGCACATCGGACATAGACACGTTGCCCTGAAAGCTGTACTCCTGAAGCATGTGGCGAAACCCTTGAGGTTGCAAATGGCACTCGCTTGACACCATCGTCCTGACAAATGCAGGAGAACAGCATGACCTGCCGCTGGTCATGCATGTCGACCATGCTGACTCCAGCAAGTGTCGGACACGGGCTAAGACGCCGGCAAAAACAGGATCGATAAAGTTCACAAAAGCAGTGCGACCATCAGTGCCGTTCACTACATGCAGGAAGTCGAATGATCCTGTCGAGAACGGAAGCATCATTCGCTGTTGTTGGTTGCAAGCTTGGACAGCTCAGCTGCGAGGAGTAAGTGAACCCGAACGTGCCCTCGTGCTGCAATGATCTGCAATGTGGCTGTGGCAGGCCTTCCGTTTGCACACCTGTTTTGTTCGCCTTCCGTTTGCACATCTGTTTTGTTCGGCGATTGCACTCCTAAGTCCAAGTGCCTTATCTACAGACAGATTATGACAGATCCCTTTCGCTAGGAGAAACGTGAGGTTCACATTCGACAATGAGGTCACGCAGTCGCTGATGGCCCCGTGCATTTTGCATGCAAAGTCGCCCTACAAATGTGTCTTTTTCTTGCTTGAAAAGCACGAGCACGCTGAAGTAGCAACAAAAGTGACAACCTTGCGAGTGTTCTCAAGGGTTCGGAGGTGTGTAGTTTGCAATTCGTGCGTCTTTTGAAAAGTTGACTTTGAGGTTCGTGCAGGAGAAGTCGTAGTAGTAGTAGTAGTAGTAGTAGCAGTAGCAGTAGCAGTAGTAGTGGTAGTGGTAGTAGTAGTAGTAGTAGTAGTAGTAGTAGTAGTGGTAGTAGTAGTAGTAGAAGTAGTAGTAGTAGCAGAACATAGTAGCAGCAGTAGTAGTATGGCGTCCGCAGAGCAGGCAACGTTTAATGTGATGTGATTAGCTGGCATCTCCCGTGAAAGGCTGCAGGGTGATGAAGCCAACAGTGTGTGTCAGCAAGCCCCCCCCAGACCAACCGCCCCCACCCACGCGTGGAAGCACTGAATGTCGAAGCCTTGGAGTAGTAGTAATAGTAGTCGTCGTCGTAGCATGGCGTCCGCAGAGCAACGTTTACTGTAATTGTTAAAGCTGCATCGCCCCTGACAGGCTGCAAGGTGATGAAGCCAACAATGTGTAATAGATGTATTAGCAAGCCCACCCCCCAACCCCCCCACACGGAATGTTGAAGCCTTGGGAGCACGGAATGCTAAAGCCTGAACCCTGAAAAGCCTGAAAGCACCCAGTTGGCATGGGGCTGCGAGAGGTTGCGTAAGCAACAACAACATTCAACAGAAGCACATGCATCTGCATCCACCGTAGATTGTCTCCCTCCTCAAGTCGACTTCGTCGTTAACATCGACACTTGTCTTGGCTATTTGCTATCGGTTGGCTGGTCTCGCGTTGTGTGTACACGCGCAAAGACACTAGTAATTGAGGATGGCTCCAGTTTCCAAAGTACACAACATGGCAATTGCGCATGCCCCACTTCAAACTTCCGCTGCACCCGTCGGATATCAGCCCTTGGAGGGTTGATTGCTCTTGTTCGGCATTCGGCTGGTTCTTGCACCGGCTGTGCGGCCTGAGTGGAGTGCCAATAGTGCCATGGAACCACGCCATGGGTCCTCATCGTGCTGCTGCTGCTGACGGCGTGGCTGTTGACCTTTGGTGCCTGCTTGGGGGGTTGTTGCATGCTCTAGGTCGCATACCCGTCGAAGGGTGGCCGAGGAGTTCGGCGAAGGCGTCGTTCCGGCTTTGGCTGCAGTAGCGGACAGGCCGCTTGGCTCAGGTGCCCCACTCTTTTCTCCGGCTCGTGCTCCTACCTGGCTGTTTTATTGGCTGGTTTACTCGCAAATCTTGCAGCGGTTCGAACTGGTTGCTCAAAGACCTTCCATTCTTTTGTACTTGTTCAGACATGCTACGTATCTCACTCACTACTTCGCACTTATTGGCCCTTGTTCGCCTGGTCTCGCAATGTCTCGCAGTTGATGCGTACAGTTGCATAACGGGTCTTCTTGTGACAAAGACTTGCATCTGACTACGTGTTGCGACTCGATTTGAGGTGCTTGTGTGTGTGTGTGCCTGTGTTTGCCGGTAACATCCTCCGACATGGCTGGAGGGAGCTAATCCAATCTCATGTCCTTCTGCAGGGGACCCGAGAGGACGGAGAGTGGACCCATGCAAACGGAACTGCAGTACCTCCTCCTGTCTGCAAGGGCATCGTATTCCTTTGTGCTGCACCATTCTTTTGCATAAGTATCCTGTCGTCTTGCTATGTAGACCAGTGCCTGTGTGCCAGACATACTTGTTACTAAAGCCGTCACCTCATCATCATCACCATCGTGTTCCACGTGACTTCTAGCAACAATCAAGTCACCAAGTGGATCGGATTTCAACTGTGTGAGTGTTTGTTGTTGATCCAGTTATTATTCCTATCCGTCCTGAGCTCCATATTTGCTACCCCGTTTCATGCGATCTGCGATGCATTGACCTCGCTGCTCAGAGTTGGAACTTCGATTTGCATCGTAAGGCCATCTTTGAGAGCAAATCTACGCATAAAGGAGCTGTTTCGGAGAAACCTTGTACTGTGTGCCACGCAAATGCACAGAACTCTGCAGCCAGTTCCCCTTCCATCCAAGTTCTTCGGACAATTAGATACTGAGAATTGGAACTTGTTGGCATGATCACGCACAAAACTTCCGCTGCGCCCCAGCTGAATCTACTGAAACGACGAAAGTGGGTCTGATTTCTGTAACCTCATCATGCACACGTGCATGGAGACTGCATGGTTCCAGACCATGTCCCAAGCCTGCGAGACCCCATGCGTCAAGTTGCTTCTTGAGGCTGGACGGTGTCGTCTCTGACGGCAAGCACGCAATTTCAACCTCAGCTAACGATCTGTGTTTCCTCACTGCGCGCTAAGTTTTCCAAGGAATTGTCGCTTCAGGGTGTGATTTGCGCGTCTCAATATTCAACTGAATTCAGGGAAGTTAGCATCGCCAGTTGTCCGGGGCGGTTCGAAGTTTGCACAGGGCTCTGATTGGTTAGTGCAGAGCAGCGCTGTCGGATGCGCTAAGTTGCACCCCAGTCAGTTTTGGAAGTTTTTTGCGCCTCGGAGCGATTTCAAACGAGGATGAGAGCCGGATGGAACTATTCTCACGAGGAGTTGGTTCATCAACATCGTGAACATTGTCGCACTTTGAACTGCTCAACCATACGACATCCTGGAAAAGCATGCTACGCCTGCTAAGCACCCGGCACACAGCTTGGTCTTATCAAATTGCTGGTACATCGGCACAGGAGTCTTGTTGCTCTGCCTTGGCCGCTCAAAGCAAAATCTCAAGCGAAGAATCAACTCTCACAGGGACCCTGGCAAGCAGTTTGGGTCCCAAGACCACTGAGCGGGAGATACAAATGGTCCATTGATCATGTCCTGTCAGTCAGAGGTAGAACATACACTGGACAGTTACGGCACATGCTCATCCAACGCTTTGCACGCTGTGCCTCAGCGACACCCGCTTGAGTCCAATATCCCATGGGACCCTCCGAGCCCTGGATGGGGAAGAAGGCGACTATGCCCTGCACTCAAACTGAACATGCCAGCAGCCCACCCAAGCTGCCAGAGAAGCTCTCAGAAGCCACACAAATGCCTGGAATGGCATTTCTGTCATTGTGGCCATCGGCACAAAGTCGGGAGCATCAGCTGTAAATGGCCTGTCAGGCGAGTTGCAACTCCAATTCTTTTGCTCGGCTCAGACCGAAAGACTGAGAGGCCAGCAGGTGTTTGTTGGCCTGGCATGTGCTGTTCCGCGACGGCACCCCGCAGTTGGCTCTTGACATGTCTTGGTGTTGCCGACACCACTCAAGATGCCCACCTTCGGACTCTCAGGCTCGACTCCAAGGGGCCTCGCGGCATGCTCAGTCTTTGCAAACTGCCGTGGCCCGTGGAACTGATCAGACTGCCTCGGTGTTCTGCCTGCCACGATGTCTGCAAAAGACGGTGCCAGCTCATCTGCCTGCCGACAGCACCAATGAACCGGCGCGCAAGTTCCTCGCACCTCATTCCAAAGTCAAACGAGTCATCGACGAATCATCCACTCAGTGTGCGTTCGGCACCGGGAGGCCTCCTTCTCCGGACGAGAGCTGTCTGATGCAGGGGCATCAGCTTTTATCGCTTCAACGGCCACGGAAGTTGCCGATGTTTCCGGTGCAGACAGCGTCGTGGCTTCCTCTTCTTTCTCCATCTTGGAAGCTGCCTGTCTCCGGTCAAAAGCATGAACATGTGAGCCATGCACCGAGCCGGGAGCAACTAGCAAAAAACAAACGTGCCTCATGCCGTGGATCTGGCTTGCGACCAGATGCCCGTGCATCTTCGCCGGCTTGTCGCTGACGTATTCGTTGCCGCTGCCGCTTGGACAAGCCGTTTGGAGCGTCGGCTGTCTGCTGCGTCTGTGCTGTCTGCGGCTGTGTCTTGTCTGGCTGGGATAGATCGCTTTGCTGACGCTCAAGCTCTGCAGGCTGCCTGTTGGACTCTGCTTCAGGCTGAGGGTCTGGCTCCGCCGCGGGCTCCTGCAGCACAGGCAGATCTCTCATGTCTATGAATGTATGGCACATGCCGTCACCAGCCTGTTCCGCCTGCATCTCACCTGCAATGCAACCATGAAGAAACTTCACTGGTTCATGGGACCCGCAAACCCGTCGTCATGCTGAGTCGCCAGTCTCAGGTCAGAGAATGCTTGCACTGCAGGAGCAGGAACAAGCACGTGACAAAGGAAGTAAGTCAAGAGAAAGGATGCCGAAGACCGACATTTCGTGACTGTGCCACTCCCCACGGCACTTCTTGTTCGAGGTAGGTAGGGCTTACAACTCCCACTCCCTTCAGGGTTGGATTTCGCGAGCGCATTTGTGGGTTGTCCTACTTCTGGCGTCTTGAAGAGCGAGTGGTCAAACCAGCATGTGACATACCAGTCGCGAGACCCAAACTTGATGTGGAAGGCGACGTATTGTCGCTGGTTAGAGCACGATTGTCCAGTGCATATGCCCTCATGAACATGTACATGACTGACAAACTGTTTTCACATCACTCCTGAAGTCATGCAGATTGCGGCAATCATGCGAAAACAAGGAACATTTAGTTGCCACCTGAACCTGAGAAAACGTCGTTTTTTCCACACAACACAAACTAGGGGCACACCAGCTGTGTACGCAGACACCCAGGTCGCGCAGCTGCTTTTTGCAGGTACGATTTCCTGGTCGAATCAAGCGGAGCTTCGTTGGCGACGGCCACTCGAACGACCCCGTCGCCCCCTGCATGAGAAACGAAGTATAACAAACCTCAAAGGAGAAAAGAAAAAATGAAGGGAACTGAAGGGATGCAAAAGTTTGACGCATGTACAGCAGTATAACACAAACGCACCCCACACACACACACACACTTTAGCATGGCACAGATCACTGTGACAAGCGACCCGCATAGACCGACTAAGCTACGTGTATTTAGTCTGGCCCTTCCGCACAGGACCCAGGAGCGTCCGTAAACGAAACAAGGGAATAAACCCTGAAGTGTCATCCAGCTGTCACTTAGCGCCCAAAAGCAACATATGCTGCAACTATAGTATACAATGGAGCTAGGACTTTGGGATGGCAATTTGTCATTACTGATATGACATAATGCCAGGATTGCACGTAACATATTGGGGGATAAGGTCCAGTCCTTTATGTGGATACCGGCTGCAAGCGACATGCCCAGGCCCTCCACACTGCAGGGGGAAGCGCCTTTGCTTCCCCTTCCCACTTACGCGCACAACTTCATTGCGCACGATAAGGCGTAAGTGCTGAGTGTCGCTTCAAAAGCCTTGCAAAAGTTCGTTGCTGATCACCATGTTCCAGTGCGCACGCACGCGCACACACACGCACAAAGACAAACAGTTCGGGACATGAATCGCATCTGTCGCACATTCCGATGTGCTGACCTGGCCTCGTCTCCTTGCACCCCGCACTTTCATGGAAGAGCTTTTGATCCATCCTTCTCCTTCACTGGCCTGCAGCAGTCAAACTGATCATTCAGTCAGATGCCCACTATACCGCACATCGCCTCTTCCACCTCATACGACTTGGACTCATCGAGTTGATGAGGCATATTCTGCTGTAGGTCCTTGCAATGTATTCCTACACTGAGCCGGCAACACAAGCTGACAAGGATGAGAGATCTGACCTCCATGTCTGCCTTCTTGACTTGAAGGATCTCATCCTGGGCAGAATCTGTTAGTTTTGCCAGTTTGCAGGGTCCGAAACGCGGCACACAATGACAAGGCAGAGCCTCGGCTTCGGTGTCTGATTCTTCTGCCAACAGGAAGATGCCGTTAGCCCGCTGTGCGGTCTGTTCCTCAATTTATTGCAGGCATTCAATCGTGGCATGAGGCTGTGCTAGTCTCAGCGCTCGCGAGCGCTATGAAGCTCCTGCCTCACTGAGGAGCTTGTCTTGTCTCTCGCTCTTCTTACCTGCAAAAGGCATGGCACCAAACTCTCGTGGTGCTCAACCGACGAGCTATGCGAGTCAGTCCACCGAACAAACCATGAGTACGACCCGTTGCTAAAGTTGCCCACGACAGGTCGCCTCCAGCTCCAAGATCCTGCGCATCGTCTCGCATCGGAAGCAACATAGGCTACCACACAAGGAAGAACCAGGCCTGGTGCTCAGTCTTGTCGTTTTCGGTGTCCTGCATGCCTTCTGAAGAGAAACGTGTGAAGCTTAACGTCGATGTAAAACCCTTTCGGCTCATTGAGCCTAAACCCAAGTCTCGGCATGCAGCGACATTATCGAGACCCCGCCTTCGTTATCGTTTCGAGCCCGCCTGAAGCAACAGGATGCGTTCATGATTCCTTGACCTGTTCTTTTTGGAGTGACATTGAGATTTGAGATCACTCCCCCTCCCCCCCACCGTGCTCTGACGGCATGCTTGCGCTCCCTCCGCACAGAAGCCCGCTCTCCATTCGCCTAGCAGGCAGGACGCAAGGATGCAAACGCGAGGCGTGCTCGACGACCCTGGCTCAAGCAGGTTTTGTCGGACCAAGGTGTGCTCGGAAAGAAGCCTCCTTCTGATTGACCTCTTTGCGTTCTATGTCGTCGATCCACGAGTCATCCACCGGTGGATCCTCCGAAGGCATTGACTGATATCGTGTCTCGGTGCTGCATTTCGAGAGCCTGGTCAGCAGGCGTTTGCACGGCTTGTTGCGCAGCTTTCATCGCTGCGGTTGCCTGGATACTGAAACATGAACATGAAACATGCATGCAACCACGAGAGCAAGAGAGTCAGAGAGAAACAGAAAGAGCCGAAACGAGCAGCGAGTGCTACTGGCGCGTCAAAATGGGCGAACGAGATCCAGAATCAAGACCTGCCTTCGCCTCTCTTCGCTGTCGTAGTCGCTGCACTGTGCCGGTCGCTGCCCTGGCCAAGTTACGTGCATTCTGTTTCTCTCAAGATGCACAGTTAATGTAACAACAAGGCAAGTGCTGCGAAGGCGTTTTCGTAGGACGAGCCTTGGCCAAGAGCACCAACATCTCCGTACCAAAGATTTCTGTCATCGGCGTTCGCTCTCTGGGTGTGGAACAATTTCTCGCTGAGCTACGAACATGGACTCCTGATCACAAAGACTGTCACAAAGCTGAACATGCAAATACTCTTTCTGAACCTGAGGCACTCGAGAAAATGCTTCAAAACTCGATAGCCCCCCCTCCAAGAAAGCCCTCCAATGGGTATCGTACCTTGCCTCCGGGGTTGGAAATGAATCACACAGCATGGGCTCCTGCACAGCGAGTGCAGCTTGCACAGAGGCACCGAGACCCTACAAACCTCCCTGCTGTCCTTCTCCGCAGGAGAGGGCTGGAAAGCCCTGTGCAAAGTCACAAACAAACCAAGACACCCGGTCTCCATACGACCGTTGCAACCGGCACCTTGGAGCGGCCTTGTGTCCTTGGCAACAAGAGCTTTGACCGCTGTATATGCATGCGATGCCTGAGTTCCGAGCTCTGGCTCTCCCTGTCTTTTCTTGCCTGCTTGGAGTCGTTCACCGCTCTCCTCAAGGCCCGGGCGAGGCAGACCCAGGGCGCCAATCGACTGCGAGTGCTGCCAGAACACCCAGAACACATGAGTGTAAAAAAGACTCTTTCACCCTCATCTCTTCCTAATGAATAGAACTGTCGCTCTTGGCCACAGACCTGCTGCAGTCGTCCTGTCGCGGACAATAGGTTGCGTCAATAGGGTCGCTACAAGAACAGGGCTTGGCATGTGTACATGATCTTCTGACGGATTGGTCCCGAGGCTCCAGGCTTCCAAGCTTCCACGAGGACTGTGTTGGCTGCTTGGAACAGGTGAACTATTTCCCCACTCTAGCGATGCTGATTTCGACGATGCCTTGAAGAAGGCAGCAACGCGCTGTTGCAACGCGTCCTGGCAGCAAAGCCACCGTCTTTACATGGATGCTTGTACCCGGCCTTCGCTGTTTGGAGTAAAGTAGCCAGCATCGCCAAGCCACGTTCGAGGAAACCATACACTGCTGTTAGAGCATCATCGCATGTGTCCAAAAAGTTACACCTTAAGGCTTTTCAGCTTTTTCATTCGGACACTTCCTTCGTCCAATGCTCCGGAGCTTGGAATCGGAATGCTGAGGCGAAGGCCCTGCCGCAACAATAGACGGCAAGGGCCTCATGGCTCAGAAGGCTCGGGGGAGTGAAAGTCACAGCGTCGAAGCCCTCAAGACTGTTGAGCCCTTCTAGACGTTGCTGCCTTACCCCGACATCTTCGGTCTTTCATCGGATCACTTGAAATCTTACCCTCAAGGCATCGGCATTTCGCGTGTTTCCCTGTTGTGTTCGCATCTTGACAGGCCTGGTCTTAAACCTAACGCCTCCGTATAAACCCTATGCCCCTGCAAATCTCTTCAGCTCGTGCTTCCCACCCAGGCCTCAGAACCCGTCATGATACAGTAGCTTTATGCTCTATGGAGACGACGGAAACAGAGACCTGACAGGGCCACGCCCCTTGCTCCGTGGACTTATGTCGTCTCGGTCTTCGATGGCGTCGGTTTGGCATGTAAGGTTTGAGGGCTTGGGGCTTTGAGTATCCCGTATTTTGCTATAACAGAACCCTTATTTAGGTGGTGTCTGGGTATTCGGGCGTCTTTGCGTCGAAAATCGCATCGGGTCCAAGATTCCTAAACCCCGGACCCTCAACCAAACCCTGAACACCCTAAACCCGAAATCCTACAGCCTGATTGAAGCCTGAAACCCCGAAACAAAAAAGCATCGGGGGTGCAAAACCCAAAATGTCTTTGGTTTGCAGAGAGTCTGGGTACACCGAACCCCGAACGCCAAAATCGTAAACCCTCATGCCTAAATCCCGAAAGGTCGCAAACTGTTGGGTGCCCGCGAATGCCGAACCCTAACCCCTACAAACCCGTAAAACTTCAATCAATCTAAATGCTAAATCCTGGCCGAACCCTAAGCCCTAAAACCTAAACACTTTCAGCCCAAAACTACAACACCCCACATCCTGAACCCAGCACCCTGAAACCTGAACCCCAACACTCAACCCGGAACCCTCAATATCCCTCAATCCTCAACTCCATTAAATCCCAAAGCCCTAAACTCTAAACATCTCTAAACCCTAAGTTCTGAAACCTCTGCCTGAACCCTGAACACCAGAAACACTGGTGTGCTTGGGAACACACCGAAACCTTAAACCATGAATAAATCTAAACCTTAAAACGCTTGAAATCTTCCGCCGCCAAAACCAGAAACCCGTGAACCCTGAACCATGAACCCTGAGCCCTGAACCTTCAAGCCTTCATCCCCGGACCCTGAACACTCAACCCGAAACACCCTAAACCCCAAATCTTTAAACGCCTGAACCCAGAAACCTTGAAATACCTGCAGACCCTATCTTTAAACCTTTAACCATGGATAACCGCATCCTAAATCCGGAAACTTTTCACCCCCTCGTAAACAACCGTAAAGCCTGAATCCTGAAACGTTCCACCACCCCAACAAAAAACACTTGGACCCTGCAGCCTGAACTCTGACCCTTGGACCTTGAACCCCAAAACCCGAAACCCAAAAGCCCTAAGCCCGAACCCCAAAACCTCAAAAAGGCCCCAAACCCTGAGTTCATGCGTATTCACTAGAGTCCCGGGGTAGGAAAACAGCCACGGGCCCGGCACTGCGCCGGAATCAAACGGTCAATCCTGGAAAAAGCCTTGTCCCTACGATACATCAAGGACTAGTCGACGTGCAGCCGAGAATTAAGGTCTGTATTGCTGATTGCCTACCGGATTCCACCAAGCACAGTCTCAGTTCTGAATGTCAATCCGTGTCTTAGCCGCAGACAGCCCGCAGTATTCCTGGCGCAGTGCCACTCAGCGATAGTGGCACGATCAACAGGCGCTTGCTTTGACTCAGACTCAGGCCATGTTCGGGAAGGTGACTAGGAAGCGCATTTCAGTCTCCAGAACCAACCCACAGCTGCCTACGGACCATTGATACCCTGTCGGAACGTGCACACGATGGAATGCATTCAGAGTGCCAAATATGCTTGCACAATGCCTTGTTCTGCTTTGTTGCCAAGAACTAACTTGTGCATTGTGCACCCTGGGATGATACCGCCATCCGCGACCCAGACAATCCATCCCCCCGAATGGTCCTTATGAGTGTGGATCGCACAGATGCTGCTAGCTCAAATCCTTTCATTCCGGGAACCCAGTGCTGCTTGTAACCCTATCCTGCCGCCCACGGCCTCCAGCAAAGATCCTATCTTCAGAGAGAGAGATGTTGCATGCACAGCCGCCTTGGCAATGGTTGCGGCACCACGTTGCAATGAGTCCTGGCACAGGAGTGTGGCCTGTGGCTCGGGCCCCTATTCATGCGTGAATTGCGTGGTACAACGGAAGAGACAAAGCAGCCAGTATGGCCAAGCCGGTCTCCAACAACTCGTAAACAGGAAATAAAGCATCATCGCACATGTCAAAGAAGTTAATCCTTGGTGCGTTGCCATCGTCACAACTGCACCATGATAACTTGCATAAGTTCGGACACTGAGACATGGGCACTGCAGCAGTAGCGGATCGGAAGGGCCTGAATGCACCAAGGCACAGAGCGGAGCTGCGAGCTGTCGCGCGATGTGAAAAGCGGGTGGAAAGATCCTACCTCCAGGACCGAGTGCTCTTGCAAACAGCCTGGGATTCTCAAGTCGGCACTGAATCACCGTTACAGTAGCGATTGCGCAATTTGCATCAGTCCGCCTCCAAAGCTTCTTCCAAATGAAGCGCCCATCGTTCAGACCATGTCCTGGTTGCGATCAAAACATGACAAACCCCTCTCAGTCCTCTGTTGCGATGCTTTCTTCGAAAACAGTTCAATCTTGCCGTCGGTGCTCGGCCCATCAATCCTCTTCTTTTCCCAGCGCCAGGGAATTAAGCCCCACCCTGCACATTCCCTCGACCTGCCGACACCGAAGTACCCCTGCCGGCCCGGAGTCCTGCCTACCCACACAACACATCGTTCTCGCAAGGATAGTGCACACACAGACCTGGCCTTGGCGCGACATTTCGACGTCGACGGCGAGCTCGAGCCGTGTTGTCTGCATCTTCTACCGCCTTCGTCTGACATGGAAGCAAAGGTCTGTTGTACAGCAGCGAGGCAGTAGGGGCCACACGAAACATCGACGTGCCGTGCAGGCAACAGCAACTCCCAGGCCAACACAACAAAGGAACCTGCATGTGCGCAGCATCAACCCGCGTCGGACCTGCATCCTTTTCAGCATCGACCTTTTGCGGCTGCTGGGGTGATGGCGAAGCGATTGCTGAGGCTAAGGATGAAAAAGCTGCTCCTTCCGCCGCTGTGGCCATGGCGGCAGATGCGAAGCGAAGCGAAACCAAGCGTGCAATTTCTCAGTCCTGGCCTGGTCCTGTTGGAGGTGCTGGTCCTGCAGTGCAGCCTCAGTTGTTCAGCCGAATCCTCAAAACGCCAAACATCTTGAACAGGTCTGAGACGTTGCAGCATAAGGATGCTGCTAAAGCAATCGTCACTACGGCTGACCTGCAACAGACGACTACGACAGACTATGTTATGCGGTAGAGGTGGGCGACTGCATCATGCCTTGACGAAACCTCCGGGGCAGTCGCACGGGCCAGCGACACACGAGTCGGAGGACCTGGTGCTGTGTTTTCATGTGTTGCAGACTGCTGGATTGAAGGTCGCAAGTCTCGCACATTGGGCAATCTGGTACCGGAGGTCCACACCTTGCAACATAAACTGTCAGGACGGCGAAACATAGGCTAGTATTCCAAGTCGAACTCGGATTGAAGCACTTGGCACAAAGATCTGTTGACGGTCTGCATTTCCTGTGCAGCTGAGACAACAAAACAGCAACTGCAAAGCAACGTCGACCGTCGATAGCCACACCTTACGGACGTGGGATGCATCCTCACAGCGGCAATCGCCCATGCTGCACTGACCCGGGTCAGTGGTGCACATGTACCTGTTCAAGTCTGCAGTGCTGGCAGCATACTGACATCACATGGTTGCGCACTCGACGGCTTGCACGCAAAGTTGCTTTCGCTTCCCAGCGCAATAAATGTCCTTCAGAGTTGAGGGACCATGACATTGCAAAACGATTCTGTCTGAATCTTTGACTGTATGCTCGATTGGAATGCGTAAGTTGTCCAAGCAGATGAATGGCCAATGGAAATGGCTGCGGCTGGCACGATTTGACCTGCACCTTCTGTCATATTTGTCAAGCAGGAGCATCCGGAATGGGATTGTCTGCCTGTTTTTGTTGTGAACTCTACGCTTGCCGAAAATGAATGACCAACTGGTCACGCACGTCTCCCAACGGCTCGGATCGTGTTTAACAGCCGAAGGCTTTTCGAACTTTGCATTGCGAGCCCATCCGTGCCAGCCGTGTTGGAAGTGGACGACAACACAAAAAGAAGAAGTCTTATCATTCTTTGGACAAGAATATAAGCAATATAAAACAACAAAAAAAAAACAAACAAGGCTGGCATTGGATCGGGCCACAGATTAGGTACAAGTCTTGGTAAGTCCCAGAAACAAGCCTCAGAAACGACAAAAACCGGCATCTAGCCAACAAACTTCAAAGCGCCTGAGCTTCCTGAATTTGATTGCCGCTCTCGCGGCACAATCCGGAACCATTGGGTAACTGCCCTGTCGGTGGTGTGGGCCTTGTCGAAGGGGGAAGCCGTAAAAAAAGTTAGCACAATGCTGTCTTCGAAAGACCACGGCACCCCGGCCAATCAGCAACACGTGTGACCCCAGGAAAGAATGAGCATTGGTCGCCATAGTATATAGTTTTCCATGGCCCACAAAAAAGGTCTGTCCAAAGCGTCCACAACCAAACAGAACCGCTCCGGGCCCCCCAGCGGACATGACATCTTGCTTTCTTGAAAGATTAAACACTTTTTGTGGCTACGTACGGCAAGCGGCGGACATGCAACCACCTTTGAAGCACGATCGATGCGAGGCGGCGTAAATCACCCCACCGCTGTGAAGATCTGCAAATACAACAGGGCGGTGCGGGCGGGTCTGAAAAAGCCTACAGCTCGAGAGGCCAGCAGCTGCGAGGTCTCGCTGGTGTCGTTCGTACATCTCTTTCCGTGCAACACATTGGACCACACGACATCTTGCTTTTGCGCAAGATTATACATAGCGGCAGGCGGCGGAATGCAACCGGTCGAATCAAAAAAGGTCTTAGACGCGATCGATGCGAGGCGGTGCGAATCATTGCGAATCACCACAGGTGAGTTGCCTGCACCATCGAAGCACACCCGAACCCCTATAGCTCGCAACGCCCGCCAAAACGTCTTGAAACAGCGACAAACGTCGTCACTGACGTTGGCTGACGAAGTCACTCGCTGCCATTGGGGCGAAGCTAGGAGAACTCCATGAATCAGAGGTGCCGTAAATGTCTGTCAATGGTCTCGTCCTTGCCGAATCGCTTGGACAACGCATGCCTCGGTTCGTGCCTGTGCAGTAGGTCGTTCATGGGCATGAGCGGGATGGTCTCCCCACAATTTCGAGCATTTAAATGTATGTTTTGCGACTGGAGAATTCCCTCACGAACCAGTATGGAAGCCGGCCATGTGCGAAGTAAGTCTTTTCGTCGACAGTCGCCACGAACCCTAATCCGTTGCGGAGTGTCTCCGGAGGGGTACGTCCCTAGCATCGTAGGTTTATCCAGGTTTGTCGAACAAGTTGACGAAAGCGTCCATGTAAAGAACTGACCTGGGTTCGTGCACGAAGCGCAACGATCTGGGCGAAGCATTGCGAAAGCTCCAACATAACAGCCCGATGCCATGCCTCCGCTGGCTATTAAGGCTCCGGTTCTGGTTGCCCCTGCCCAGGCCGGTCAGCGGTGCTCCGCGAAACAATAGTTTTAAAGCTTATGCCTGCGACTCGCCCATGAGCGACTGGCAGCGACGGAAACGCTCGTTCATGAGGATGTCGACCAGGGCTTCACCGTGATGGAGTCGGCGTCGACCACGACGTTGACTCCCTGTATCACCTGCGAGGAAGCTGGTGATTCCTTGGATTGCTTGAAAGAAAAGCCTAGCCAGTTGCACAAAGGCGTTTGGAGCAGCTGAAGGACGATGTGGAGCGCAGCTGTTGTTTGCAACTCCCGACGTCGTCCACGAAGCGTAGCACTGGCGTGAGCAAGCAGGCTCCGCACAATCATGACATTAAGTCGGCCACTCTGCAATAACTCCAAGCCGAAGCGGCCGACCCGAACATGAATACGTTGTGTCGGGAGCATGACGTATTTGTCGTCGGGTCCTCCGCTGGCCGGAAGCTGGCGGCAAGCCTCTTCGTGGCCCAAGCCCCAAACCAGCATCTTGGAGTCAAGGACCTCTTGATCACGTAGCTGGACGTACGACTTCACAGGCGTGTTTCGGCGGGGAGTCGGAAGGGGCCAACGTGGGGTTGGTGATGGAGCGACGCCAATCTTCGCTTCTCTTTTCCTTCGGTTTGTTGTCTGGGCCGATTTAGTGTGCGGCGATGCATGTCGGCCAGTGCGAAATAGGTGGTTGCTTCAAAGTGCTTGTGCACGTGTGCGACGTTAGCGGGACGGAGGTCTTAGGCCAGGATGACGGATTTGTAAACGGCCCCTCCATGCTCCGCATCGTCACATCATGAGTTATCTCATCGGACATCTACGCGCAGCAGTTGTCGACGCGAGAGCGCTTGAGTTTGTCCTTCATGCAGCGCTTGTTCTTCTCCACGAAGTCGTCAAGGTCGAGAGGTTTAACGTAACGTTCGTCGTTCTGCTTTTTCCATTGAAGGCCCGGCGTCAATGGCCCCAGAAGTCTAAAGCATTCTACAGCCAGGCCTAAGCTCAGAGAATATGCAAGGGTCTTGCCACCCGAAAAGGCTGCAGATGATTTCAAGATTGGTAGTTATTGGTAGTTGTAACGACTACATGCGATTGTCGCTGTCATGGGACCTTGGAACGTGTGGCTCCAGCGAGGCGAACCACTCGTCGGCCTCCGGAGACATGTCCTCGACCATCGACTTGGTCAGCGACAGCATGCCGTAGATCATCGAGGTAGAATGTGTCACGTGCGACCAAATCCAAAGCCATTGCTGGAGTCCGCGTTCGAGGCTCGCGTCGTGACAAGGTCCTCGAGGTAGGACAAGTCGTTGTCGTCGTAGTCGCGCTACATCCTGACCCCGGCAGTGCAGGATGCCCTTGCATCGACGACGATGCCTCCCAGGAGATAGAGTTCGGCTGGTGGGAAGCGGCAAAATATGGCCATGATGAAAATGAGGTGTGCCACTCCAGCGTGCCAATTGTTGGGCAAAGCCTTGTGGCGAGCATATTCGGGCAAAGACGCGGACCAGCCTTGTGGTAGATAATCCTAAAATTTGCAATAGAATCACGCATCTGCCGTCGGAGTTCGTCATCATCGCGCCCGACTGGTAGTACCACGGGGCAAAGAGGGGTTGCTTGCCCCCCCCCAACGTTGGTTGGCCTCTGCGCTGATCTTCCTTTTGGAGCTGCGATGCGCAGGTCGGTGGGGTTGTAAGAAGGCATGGTAAGGCAGGGAAAAAGGGGAAGTGTACAATCACGGACTCATCATCCATTACTGGCAAATTGGACAATGTCGATGATGCAACCTCCCTGCACTGCTCACATTATGTATATGAGGTCGTGGCGATCATCGTTCATTACGGGGAGCTTGCAACAAGTGGGCATTATCGTTGCTTCTGGAAGGAGAAAGATTGCGTCTGGATTGCGGATGACGGTGATGCCTCGACACATTGCTCCGCTGCAGACCTCGAAGCATGGCAACTCCAAGGTCAAGTGGAGACTGACGATGCCGCTACACATGAGCATTTGAGTGCATCGACGGCTATTAGCCCTGATGCTGCGTAGTTTAGCATCTTTAAGATGCCCGAACCCACCTGTCACTTCGCTACTGACTCGCCGGGCGGATTCATCTTCGCTGCGTCCGGAAGAATGTATTTACGAAGTGCATGTAACTGATACACACATAAATGACTGCATATAGCAAAATGCATAAGCCTTCATATGTGCAACGGCTGAAATCAAGGGAATGTGAGAGAGTGGGAAACCATGATTGTAGCCTCCTTCGGAGACACACAACTCGCAGGTGCCTCCTCCTTCGGCAGCGTGCGCTGCGCAAACTTGAGGGATTTGGACGCACCTGAAAAGCAAAAACCCTGCAGCCCACATGCTGGGAAGAGTTGGCGAAAGAATCGCGTGTTCTGGTGAGGTCCCTGCAAGGCACCAGCTTCCAGGTGTCTGCCCACGAAAGGCCTGGGACTGGGAAGCTTTTTTGAGGCTCTTAGTTTTCAATCACTGCCTAAACGAGGCAAACCTGTCGCAGCCTCGTGCTCCGAGCTCCGCGCAGCTGTTGTGTGCCTTGGCCAAGATTGAAGCGCCGTTGAAGCGAAAGACTGTACCTCCACTGGGCCAGAATACCAAAATCTTCCTTTTCACTTCCAAGAGGCTTTCACATGTCGAAGCATGTTGAGACGCTGACAAGAGCTTGAATTCGAGCTTGCAAGCTGCATACCTGGTCAAGGAGCAGCAGGTCAACTTAACTTGCCGTGAGCCCTTCTCGGCACCAAGATCTTGCGTGGCCCAGCTCGAAACTGCGATTCGACAATCCACACGCAAAACCAACATTGGTGCAACGTGCTCATATCGCACATCGAAAAGTTGCAGACCGATTGCAATGCCGTAGAACACAGATACGAACCGAGTTCACGACCATCAGCTTCCTCGACTACGTGAAGACAGGTCTCATCCGAACCTCACTGCCGAGGATTCATCAAGTGGTTCTGCAGAATGCATGCAACTGGATGGCGACCTGCTGACCGGAGGGTCATGTCTACATGCGGGCGAACCTTGGACGACCCAACAAAGGCAGTAGAAGGCAATACCAAAGCGACTCAATGGAAAGATGCTCACGTCTAAGATGCCAGCGCACTGCCAACAAGGTCTGTCTGATCCGACATCTATCCTGTACTGGGGTTGGTTTTGCTGAAGCTTCTGTTGGACGGAATGCAAACGTGCCTGGGCCAGGAAGGATCTTCACACTCGCAGGCCTCAGAAATGGATCGATCAGTGAAGCCCGATGTGGAACCAGGACGGCCCGCAGATTCCGAGCAAGTGGAAGCGTCTCCAGATACTGCCTTGGCGCGGGGCTCTCACTCACTTCAGCCCATGATTCCATGATTGCTAGACTTGAAGGGAAGGGAACATTAAGCCTGCACATCCGCTTCCGGTGCAGACTCTTGCATCCTTCGGCACCAACCCGCAGCCCGCAGCAAGCAATTCAAGGCGTCGAGGGCTCGTGGGTGCTTGTGTCTGTGCGTGCGTGAACAAGTATGTCGTTGCATCGTTTGTTTGTATGTGTGTCCGCATGTGTGTAAGTAAGTAAGTCTGTAAGTGTGCAAGTGTCTCAGTGTGTCAGTGTGTCGGTGTGTAAGCGTGTAAGTCTGTAGGTGTGTAAGTGTGTAACTGTGTAAGTAGGTAAGTAGGTGAGTGAGTAACTATAGTGGCCCACTATAAGTAAGTACGTCGGTAAGTCAGTCAGTCAGTCAGTCAGTCAGTCAGTCAGTCAGTCAGTCAGTCAGTCAGTCATCAGTCAGTCAGTCAGTCAGTCAGTCAGTCAGTCAGTCAGTCAGTCAGTCAGTCAGTCAGTCAGTCGCGCTTGTGCGTGCGTGCATGTGCCTTGCACGGGGTGGCGCTTTCCTCGCATGTGATGCTCAGGCAAACACCGGGCAGAACTCCTCAACACACTGAGCGCACGCCAATCCATCCTGAAGGCGGATCGCTCGGTGCATCTTGCGAAAGATGAAGCAATCGGATGCTTTCCTGCGTCACTAGGTCCAGCTTCATGAGAGGGAAGGGACACGTGCAAGCCCCAGGCCTCGGGAAGGCACAACCAAACTCACGTGCATGCTCATTAGATTAGATGCTTACAAGCTGTGTGCTCCCGTCATCTGAGAAACTCTTTTTCCAGGTTCCTGAAAGTGAACGTGCGGCGCAATGCACCGTGCTGTACAAAGTGTTGTGCAGAGCACAACGGAGTTTCTCCGCAACTCCTGTTATGGAACTTGCTTACGGATTTGCTCGCAGCTTCATGCTGGCTCGCAGAGATTCGGCTGATCGGATCATGCCAAGTTCCTCGAAACTTGTCAACACCTCAGTGTAAACTTCTCTTGCTTCTTCATGCTGTCCAATGTCATCCATCTCTTCTGCTTCATCTATTTGAAGGTGGAGCTGCCCGATGCGACGAACCAAAGCCTCTATGTCAGTGCCCCGGCATCGCCTCAGGGTTCCGTTAGAACCGAAGTCCTCAAGCGAGCTTAACGCACCGTAATCCAGCAATGCTTTCACCACCGCCAGATGACCACAGTGCCCATTTAGGCCGGCAAGGTGTAAAGGTCGGTGACCACCGGCTTCGACATCAGGCCTGGCACCCCGCCTGCACAAGGTTTCGATGACATGAGCATGGCCGTTGGCAGCTGCGTGATGTATAGCTTCTCGGGTATCTCCAGACGTAGAATAAAGAACGGCCTTCCTATCCAACAACATGTCGCAAATGTCAGCATGACCCTCCGATGCAGCCCAATGCAAAGGTCGCATTCCTGTGAATGTAGCTTCTTCAATGTGAGCCTTACGGTCCAAAAGCAGCTCGCAAACGTCATAGTGTCCGTGCTTGCAAGCTTCGTGAATGGGATGCTTACCATCACAGATTTCTTCGGCATCGATCTCTGCTTTCGCCTCAAGCAGAAGAATGCAAACATCTCGGAATCCTCTTTGCGCAGCCAAATGCAGCAAGCGTTCTCTCTTTGGCCAAAGAGGGGCATTGACATTCACACAACGCTTGACTGAGCCATACCGAAGAATTGCCTTCATCATCTCCGCATCTCCTGCCTCCACAGCTTTCTGTAGCTCGGAGTTCGTAGCCGCTTGCTTCAAAACTGCCTGGTTGCTGCTTGGCCCTTTGTACTTGACCACATTTTTCATCTGATCTGGTTTTGGCATCTGTCGCTGAACATCACCAACAGTAGGAGTCGACATGGCCTCGTCCGATAAAACAAAACACACCAGCCCTGATTCCGACTCCGAAGCTGCTCATGTGCACTCCGATGGTGTCAGGTATGCCTCTGCTGCACCGTATGTCACATGTAAGCTGTGGGCCTCAATCGAATCTGCATCATAAGCCAGGAAGTCACTACAACCCACAGTAATTCTGCATCGGCTTTTGCCACGACTCACGCTGGTGATTGCTCTGCTTCGGGTCATCATGATCAAACCAGCACGCAAGTGACGGGTTCCCAGCGTGCACATGCCTTTCTCCGAAGTGCACTGGCTGGCCACAAACCTTCGGCTGACATGTTACATGGTCAACAATACCCGCTGTCGACATTGCGCTGCAGTCCTAAGTTCCTTCGGAAGTCGCACGCCTCGGAAACATCTGGCCCGAGAGGGCGAAAGCGATGGCAAACATGACGACCGAAAATGTGCAAAGCCACCTCAGCAAGCCGTGCACACAAGTTGAAGAACTTATGCGGCGCGCGGGCCAAATCATGTACACGCTGCACGGTCTGCACACACGAGCGCCAGAATGCAGGCTGTGGGACAGGCTGAGAAGACCAAGCCTCCGTTTCGGGGTACACCTGTCGCGATACGCTTCTCTCCAACTCAGGCACGAAACCTGCCTTCCCATGCCTCTTTGTCCCTGTCCGCTGCAACATGTTTGCGAGTCATATGTGTGCGTGTCAATGAAACACTCCACGAGCTTGTTTGCTAACAACCCTTTCCGATCCGTGATCTGTCACAATCAAAGACGATTCAACATAAAAATGCATCTGCGTGCTAGCTGGGCTGCAGTGTTGGCTAACCATCAACAACAGCCATTACGCTGCGGAGCATGGAAACAAAAGTCCGGCAGATTCCAAATTGAATGCACTTGATTCATGCCACCATATCCGTTGTGTTCTTTCTGCAAATTCCTTGGACTCTCTTTGGACCCAACGGCATCTTCCCTGACTACAATGACAAAGCTTACATCATGCACTAAAGCAGGCTTTATTGTGTCTTGCATATCGGAAGGGCATGAAAGCTACCTGTTGTCTGGGTTGTAGCTCCGCCGCCCAAACCCTTCTGAAAAGCCATCTGCTGCAAACGTTTCGCTGCATACACTTGCCCAGCACCCAAACCTATGCAAGGCTCTTCCCAGAAGTCAATCACCCACTTGGTCAAACGGTAATCACAGAGGGTGGGGTGGTCGCCGTGCGTGCTCGTACGGCACTTGAAGTGGAGGCTAGTCTCATTTCTCCATCCAATCCGTGTTGAATTTTCAACAGTCTCAACACCACATATCCCTTGCATGACCATGGTGATGTTACTCATGCAACAGTCAATCATTGACTGCGTGTGTGTCTGTTTCAATTCGTGTTCATAAACAACCTGCTTTGGTCTCTAAAGTGTTTTGTGGTCGCTTGTCCATGCGCGTGCGACAACGAAAAAACACGATGGCGTCAAGGGATGATCCACCTTCGCGTTGACTTGTTTCTTATTCCCGGAGCTCGATTCCGCAATTTTGAATCATAGATCAATATACAATCACGGGAACAACAACAACACGGTATTCCCCCAATACACTTATGTGGGGAGCCGAATATATAAAAGATAACAAATTGGAAGATCGAAGCACTCACGATTTTAAATTTTCGCACATGCGATCTGGGCTGCATGAGTAAGATGCTGCATCGGCGTCGGGACCTAATGGGCAGTGACCACTGTCACGAAACGAGGATCAGGGCGGGCGGGTGTAAAATTTTGCCCATTCAAGGAGGTGCTCCCTCCCACCCACCCTCGAGCAAGATTGCAAGGAAAGATTTTTAGACATGCGGCAAGCATGATCAAACACATGTGTGGTTGAAAATGCGAAATCAAGATTTTGGCCAATGCTAAAAAGCATCGCCCGGGTTTAAAACATTAAGAACTTCGCTTGCTTAGTCCCGGAGCTCGGTAGATCAATATACAGTCACGTTAACAACAACACAATATTCCCCCAATACACTTATGTGGGGAGCCGAATGTACAAAAGATAACAAATTGGAAGATCGAAGCACTCACGATTTAAAATTTTCGCACATGCGATCTGGGATTCGAGCCGAGCATTCGTGAAACACATTCTGCATGGGTAAGATGCTGCATCGACATCGGGCCCCGTCATGAAGCGAGGATCACATCCCAAGTCAAGACAGCAAAGTGGTTCATCTGAGACAAAGCAGGATGATTCCGAGCGCATGGTCACACATCGGAAAGATCTAGCAGCCTCTTGACGGAGATTCAGAGGGATGACTGTGAAGGAACGAGCATACATCCGATGCAAATCAGCAGAGATCTCCAGCTCATCCCTCGGAAATGCAATTCCACGTGGCCGATAAAGCAAGAACTCGGTTGTCATCGAGAAGTCCAGTGTTCTGAGAGCTTGAGCATTCCCATGCCATTCCAATGTGTGTTTTCAATGGTGACCGTCACGAGTCCTGTTTTCATTCGTGGATGCTCAAAACAACCTCTCAGCTGCAACCAGATCCTCTACAACACAACAACGGTGAGGTGAGTCCAAGGACAGGCTTTCATTGGTCTTGCCAGGGTTATTTGGCGCTATGATGGAGGATCAGCGCAAGATTCAAGCATTCCAAACCAAAGAGATCGAAAGGACATGTTGAGACATGTCTAAGGCGCATGCAGACTTCATTTCTCTCTAACTGAACTTTCCACCCTTCCTCTGGGAGCTTAACGTGAGGGTTCCATCTCGCAGAAGCGAGTTTGAGCTGAGAAAAAGAAACTCGTCCTGGAATCAGTTCCTGCCAGTCTCGACATGTTCTGCGAACCCAGACCCATTCGTTCAGCTCCCAGATTCCTGGACGTTTTTCACAAATTCTTCATGGACAAACCAAAATCAGCTCGTGGGTGGCTTTTCCGAAGTGCTGCAACTTGACAACCTGAAGACTTCAGCCGAAGGAATCAATTGGCTGGCATTGCGAACAGGTCCAAACAGAGTAACGCCGTTTGGCAAGAGAACCTCGCAACAACTGCCGCTCAATACCCCGCTCCCCAGTCGCTCTGAGTTTCTGGCACAGAAATTGCCCAGGAGGTGGCGTAGGGAAGCACCCAAGAAGCACCCACACAGAAGCGAGCGCTGCCTCCCCACACTTGGTGAATTCACCAGGGGCTGGGCCCAGCCCCCTTCAACGAAGGGGGGCTTGAAGGGGGGCTTCAAGCCCCCCTTGAAGGGGGCCTGAAGGGTCAGACCCTTGAAGAGGGGCTTGAACGGTAGGCTGAAGGGGGGGGCTGCGCGGGGGGGGGGGGGGGTTGAAGGGTCGAAGCGGTGAAAACAAATTAATAACCTGGACAAAAGCAAGCCTATATGGAGTGTCGGAAAAAGGCTTGGGCACTTCAAGTTCCCGATAAGTTGCGGTTCCCATCAAACCCACAATCAATCGTGAAGGATTTAAAAGGTTTGCAAATGGGGAAGCTGCGCCAACCCTGCTTTCGTGAAATGAAACTTCCCACTCGTGCAAGCCGCAAAGAAGTCTACATTGAATGAAACCCCTTACAAAGCTTTTCAAGCCCAAAAGCTTCTCCCAAGAAGAAGGAGAAAGCCACACGAAGACGCCTTTGGAAGGTTAAAAGCGAAGAAAACAAATTAACAACCTTGAACAACAAGCCTACATTGAATGAAACCCTTCTTAAAGCCCTGCAAACCCAAAAGCTTGTTCCAATAAGAAAGAAAAAAGCACACGAAGACGCTTTAGGGGTGTGAAAAGCGAATCCCTTACAAAGCTCTTCAAGCCCAAAAGCTTCTCCCAAGAACAAGGAGAAAGCCACACGAAGACGCCTTTGGGGGTTAAAAGCGAAGAAAACAAATTAACAACTTTGAACAACAAGCCTACATTGAATGAAACCCTTCTAAAAGCCTTGCAAACCCAAAAGCTTGTTCCAATAAGAAGGAAAAAAGCACACGAAGACGCTTTAAGGGGTGAAAACGAAGAAAATTTAATGAAACCCTTCATAAAACCCTTCTAGCCCAAAAGGTTTCTCCAATAAGAAAAAGAAAACCTCACAAAGACGTTTTTTGGGGGGTCAAAAGCGATGAAAGCAAATCAGTAACGTGGATCAATACAAGCTTCCAATAAGAAGAAGAAAAGCAACCTTACGGGGATTAAAAGCAAGAAAACAAATTAACAACCTTGAACAACAAGCCTACATTGAATGAAACTCCTCTTCAGGCTTTGCAAGCCTAAGAGCTTCTTCCAATAAGAAGAAAACAGCACACGATTTCGGGAAGTTAAAAGCGAAGAAAATCAAGGAAACCCTTCAAAGAATTTTTTTGGCACCAAAAGCCTTGAGCAAAACCCCTCTAAAAGCTTTGCAAGCCCAAAACCTTGTTCTATTTTCGCAACCAAAAGCCTCTTCTTTCCCGGCAGCCACCTTCAAGCCCCTTGCTGCTTTTTTAAAAGTTTCTTTGAAGGCTCTCTTAAAGCTCTTCCTCCTTCTTCAAGTCCCTTCAAGCCCCCCTTGAAGCCCCCTTTTTTGGCGTATGCGGGCCTCGTCGACTACAGCTGTAGCACTCGGTCCCTACAAACAAACAAACCATCAAACAAACGAAAAAAGCGGTGAAACAAATGCGGCTAATTAAAGAGGGCGAAAGCTAGCTGCGGCGCACTGGCTTTGCCGGTGTTGGCCGTTCAGCACAAGCTACGGGTCCTCAGCGACCGTTTCACAACAACAATGGGCCGTCGCCCAGAGCTGTCCAAGACCTGCGGTGGAGCCCAAGTCAAAGCTCCGGCCGCCGTTCTAGTCCCGTCGGACAACGGTCAGCCCCGAGGTCCAGTTGTGTCCCGATCGTGCACAGAAAATTCACAAGTCCAAGGCGTCGCCCAGTGGCGAAGGTCAGGAGAAAAGACAAGTCGACGTATGTCGACAGTCATGGACTGGGGAACTGAACGATGGATTTCCGTTTCCTCGAGCGCGCACTGCTAAGTTGAAGGGGGCCATTGATCCAGCAGGCGCTGCATGTCGCTGCCACTGCGCGGAAAGTCGTGAGACTCCCGCAGAAGGTACAGCAATTGGTACTGGCCCTGATCATACAATTCCTTGAGGCGGCGAAAGCCATACTGGAGCGTGTCCCTGTCTGGCTCATGAAGGTGCGGCATAAGCTCAGCAGAGATAAAGGGAAGCTGGATGCCCGGGCCAATTCCACCCTGCTCTATGAAAGTTTGAGCCGCCAACCGCCAGTCATTTTGTCCCCAAGGGTGGCCTAGACGAAACCGTGGCTGGCGACCGTCGGGCAAGGCCTCTTGATTGGATTCTTGTGCCACCAAGCGATGGATAAGAACTTGGGCTCGGCAGTCCCATGCATCAAAAAGGCCATAACGCCACAGGCGATCTGGAAAGTAGAAGTCCATTTTCCGAGGGCCTCGTAACCAGAACACGACAACGTCAGCAAGCTCCCAACCTTCGGTGGTGGCTGCTGCGCGAAGACGATACAATGCGGCATGCAGTAGTCCTGCTGACTGGAGAGGGAGCGTGGGCTGTGTCTGCAAACCCAGAGAAGCATCATCTAGCGGAAGCAGCAGGTGAAAAGTGCCCTTACACACGCCCGGGTATGAAAACATTTGAGGATCAAAATCACCTCGCCTAGGGGCCTAGCAGGGAGAATTCCACGATGGAAACCCTCCATCATGCGGGCC